CCGTATATCCCTCAGCTGTCACCGGCCACTCTCAGGATCTCATTCGTGCTTTGGCAGGAAAAATAAGTCAATAAATATAGCAGCTGACTTGTGTTTCAAAGCCCCCCCCTTACACTTTTGTGTCAAAGGGACAATCAAAATAATGTATAAAGAAAGGACAAGTAAATGTCACTGAGCTGGGTCTTGATACAAAAATCTAAGAATGGGTTGCTTATTTCCTCCTAGCAACAGAAGAACCCTGTTTGGAAGGGTTTACCAAATTTGCACCACTTTGTGGATTGTATCATGACAAATTTTATTTTTTTAGATGCTTGCGGACATTTAAACATAATGATTTTTGTGTGTGCAATGACTCTAAAAGAGACGTAAAATAATCTGCTCTGATTTACTGCGCAAACTGTCCGCTCCACTCTCCAAATCAGTCTCTAGGACTTAAAAGACAGAGCGAAATGAACGTTTGTGACTTGACACCCCTGAGTGCTGCAGTAGGAACATGAGTCAAACGAACTCGTGCATGTAGTTACGGCTCGGCGTTCGACTGTTGGCCGTCTAAAGTGACCAGAGCGGCGGTGTGCCTGCAGCAGGGCCCATCTGTCAGAGCCTGTAATTGCATCATGACTCTGGGACATTTGACTCAAGTGCACTGCCACAGATTATTATGATCCTTTTTCTCAGGGATTGATATTTCTCTCTCTCTCTCTCTCTCTCTCTCTCTCTCTCTCTCCGAGTGAGGCTGGTGTAAAACTTAGATAGTGGAGAAGATGAATGGACGACATGGGAGGCAGCAGAGTCCGATCAGCTGTATCTGTGTGTTTCTGGTGAGGTGGTAAATGGGGTTCAGGTGCTAAATCTGAATGCTACTCAGAGTGGTTGAAAGCAATAGGGCTAAGGGAGAGAGGGAGACAAAGAGGCAAGCTGTAAAAGGTGTTCAAATGCATGTTATTCCAATGTTATTGTAATTTCTGCAAATTTTCAGTCCATTTGATCCAACAGATCTGGTGTTTGGCTCCAAAAAAGCAAAACAATGCTTTGCTAAAGCTGGTAAAATGGAACCAAATCACCTCTTGAATGGATTTGGTCCCCTTCAACCAGCTGTAGCTATGCTTTGATGTCTACAAGAGCAACTTTTGCTGCGACCCCTGTCGACGCTGTACGGACGGTGAGCGGTTTTTCAGCGACTGTCATTACTCATCTTCTGTCTTGTTTTTGACGAATAAAGAAACTAATCCCAGCTGCAAAACTGTTGTATGGTCCTCTTTTCTGACGGTGTTGAATCTCTGCTTGATATTCTGCCTACGCTGAGCAGCTGGAAGGGAAGACGTGCAGCAGCTAGCGCTATTTTTGAAATCCAGCACTGGTGTGCAAGCGTGAGAATGTTTGGCTGTCCTAACTGTCACTGAATGTTAGTCAGTTACACGGTGGACAGGAATAGACGAGGGAAAAAGGAATATATAAAAGGCTGAGTGTTGCTCAGCAGACGGTTTAAAAAAGAAGAAGCTGCCATGAAGCAGCAAATACTACAAATACAATCCTCAGGTCTCCTGTAGTGGACAGGACGACGATAGAAAGGTTTAGTTTCCTGCCTCTGCTGCGAAGTCTGATCAGTATAAACATCCTTGTCAGCCTCCTTCTTTTGGTCTTTAGTGGTCCTAATGTGACAAATAATCACCTCAAACCAATATTCTGTAGTTATGTTGTCTCAAATGACCAGAAAAGTCAGGAAACTATACATTTGGTAAAAAAAAAAAAAAAGCACAAAAAAAACCCCGACTCATCCATAAAATGTCAACATTACAAAATAAGTCAACCTACTTTAGGTCTGACATCACATTTGGAAAACCCATTTCAGGGCAGGGGAAAGCCTTCAGATTAAAGGTCGACTGATATCAGTTTTTCTATTACTGATACCGATCACTAATAACATCAGCTGATGCACAAAATGTCCGAAGTTGAATCAGTTTTTAACTCTGAATCTAACTAACTGTAAATTTTAACTTAGTGCACTGTTAAAGTCAGACACCTAAATAAAGTTCATTTAGAGTATTTATTATGCAGATGTTATTAGTGAACGTAAAAATACATTTAAATTTAATTCTGCAACAGCACCAGGCTGCCCGAGGATGTGTCTGACTTTAAATCGGCCTTGCTAAGGACAAATACGATGCATCAAAAACTGTGTCGACCCCTACTTCAGACACCTTTTGTCTCCCGTGTGGTGAAATTAAAATTTAGGGATGGTCTTTATAATAATAATTATTTTTTTTATCTAAAAAAAAGAAGGGCTGATATTACAAAAAGGTGACATGTAAAGATTACAGACAGCTACTGCAGGGTTTGTTAAGAGCCTGTTTATGAACCACTGGCTATTAATCACATTGTTTACAGGACTCTAGCTGCAGGAGAGGAAGACACAGATGAGACAAGCTCAAGATTGTAATGCAGAGCGTGGATCTGCAAGAAACTTCCAGTTTAAACGTTCAAATTTTGCTCAACTCGTAATAAAATACGTTTTTATTGCATATGAGGTAATGCGAGTGAGTGTAACAAGCTAATTTTGCTGTTTCCCATTTTGTAGAGCTCTTAGTATCGGACTCCACGTTAAAGATCCCTCCGTCACCCGCAGCGACTGCGCAACGCTTCTGCCTGGATTTTGTTTCCACTACTCCTGGAACGTCCAGTGAAATTACACACACACACTAGGGATTCTGGCAATTTTTCCATTAAAACCCCCAAAAGGCAAAAGCTTTTGTGAAAAGGAACACAGAGGGGGTGTTATTTTCTTCCCCCCTTCTTTCCTAGAAGTTGTGCTTCAGTATCGGAAAGTGAAATTTTACATTTGTTTAGGCCACATGTGCCAGAACAATCCGTGCTCATGCTTAATCTAAACAAAAATAAGAGGAGAAGATTAAATTCTCAAAGTTTCCACAGGTAGACGGCGCGTTTCGTTAAGAGTCCAGGTCCGGGTGATTTTAGTGGACAGACATATGAATCTATGGAAGAAATTCTTCAAAACACTCAATCAAAACAACCGTCCCTGGACTAAACACAGCAGACGAGGTGCTTTCACTCGGACCTGGGGAGAGATTTTCCAGGGCTTTAGGACTCGAGGACTCGCTCCCTAATATTGCAGGAGCTTGAGCGTGAAATAAAAGTAAATGGGAGTACTGGAGATAGGGACATATATCTTTGTTTCTCTGAGGGCGAGGGGACAGAGTGTGGACCGAGGCAGGCAACACACACACACACACACACACACACACACGCACACACACACACGCACACACACACATGCACACACACACAGCAGAGAGAAAATGCTGTACTCCAGCACTTTTAGCCTGTAAATCAATGACTCCTACAGTACACTGGCTTTCTACTGTACATCCTAAAACCTGGTTTACACGTACAGATTATGCACCCTTTGCTTTCAAATATCTACAGTGCAAATGATGTAAATCCATTCTGCAACTTTGGTAACACTTTACAATAAAATTCCCTTTATTGACGTTATTTAGTGCTTAGTTTATTAATGGTTAATAATGCACTAAGTAACGTTAACTGTAAAGCATCCCTGCAACTTTTATTTGTTAAATTTGTGCAGAGACTGCATAATTTTAGTTTTCTTTATTAAAATTTCAGCAGACTGCAGGCCACACTCACAATCTTCTTTAAAATGTATTCTTCCGTTAAAATGTACAGAATGAGAAGAGATTTGTATAGAAAATAAGTTATAAAATGTTCTGGATGTTGCAGCTTTGTCTGAAACGTGGTAAATAAGATTTGATTTTATCAGTAGTAGCAAGTAATGGATTTCTCCAATTAAATAATGTTCGACACAGATGTGTGAGCCGTAGATGAGCTACTCTGTGCCAGATGTTCAGGGTTAGATCATCCCTGGCTCATTGCAGGTGATCCTCTGACCTCAATTCCATTTTGTTAAGGGGAGAAAAATCCATTCAGTCTGTTATAAATATAAACAAGACCGGTCATATACATAAAAACCCAGAGCAATGAGCAATCCACAGCAGCCTTTTTGCTTCCTAGAAAACTTTGCTTGCTCTTAACCAGCTGTGTGAAGCAACCTGATAAAGATGACGTCTTTACAAGCTCCTCCTGGTTGTAAGGCAAGTACAAAGCAGAAAAAGAGCGGATCAACAACCTGCTGCCTGAAATAGCTGCAGCCAAGGACAGGATGAAATGCTGTCACGCAGACTGGCCTCCCCAGACCAGCCTGTGCTCACAAACCTCGGTGAGGGGTGAACAGAACAGTAAAAGGAAGCAACAAATTCACTTTAAAGGCGATTAGCTTTACTAACAGCAGCCGACTCCAGAGACACTACCATCTGTTGGAAAGGCAGGAAGATAGGCCTTTAGGAAAAACTTGTAAAATTAAACCAAATCGAGATGATTAGCATGTCTTTCACTTCTTATTCAACATTTTAGAGCCGTACTTTAAAAAGTAGTTCAGGAAGTTAGTCTACTATAACTTGTCTGGGGAGATAAAAAGACCAAAAATAAATAAAATGCCGACTTAAATTTGACCTTTACAGAAAACGTAGCACAGCCTCAATGGGGTTATTTGCCAGATAATCAAAATCTGCTTACATCAGAGCGCCTAAGCCTAGACTGTCTCCTAGTTTAAACCTTGTAAGCAGTAAGCCCACATTTTTCATCCCAAGAGAGGATGATTGAGTAACAAATTAGCGATTCTGCCAAGCCGCCTGCCCTCTCAGAGCTGACACACACCCTCATCTCTCTTGGTTCAAGGCTGCAGTTTTGTATGAATCTTGCTACAGCTTCAAAAACTGCATCGATTTCATTTAAATGCTCATGTCACAAAGACAGCTTTACGACTGGTTAACTAAATCTGGTTTTATCGAGGGCATTTCATTTGCATTTAAGGTAGAACCTCCACAGAATCCTTCTAAATTCGCCCTCATTACTCACGGCAACCAAACATGCGTGGGAGCTAGCGGCAGCGACAGTCAAGCGTCACATACCTGGGGTTTCCTCGCAGCGCGGCGTGATGCAAGGCATTGAACCCGTTGTTGTTGGTGATGGTGACGTCGGCGCCGGCCTCCAGCAGCACAGACAGCATGTCATCTCTCTTCTTGCTGATGGCATCGTGCAGCGGCGTGTCTCCCTCGGAATCCTGAAAAGGAAATTTCATGTCACAAATTCCAAAGTTAGGTTTGCAATCTCAAGCTCCGCTGATGTTTTCTGATCTGCATGCAAAAAATAAAAAAAAAAAAGACTAAAGTGATGGGAAACCTGAAGGCTTGGGTGGCAGCCAAAGTCCAGCAAGGTCTTAACCACCTGTAGGTGGCCCTTGTTGACTGCTATGTGCAATGGCGTCTGCCGTCGCTTGTTTCTGGCGTTCAAGTCGGCACCGCCTCGATGCAGCACCTCAATGACAGAGCCCTCATCGCCAAACGCTGCATGGTGCACCGCCCGGTCTCCATCTTTGTCCTGAGCACAATGACAACAATAAAATTGCAACGGTTCACGGATGAGCAAAGAGAAGGGTCAAGGATTTGTAAAAATTTAAATTATACCTCAGCCTCAAGGTCCACATTGTGCTTAAGCAGCAGCTTTAGGACATCCACGTGACCGTTCTGACTGGCTGCCTGCATAGCAGTGTGTCCAGCACACTGTCCGTTCACCTGCAACCACACGGACAAGGACACACATTATTATCACACTTTAGTCCTCCATCTATAAAATTAGCTGTTGGGAGATGAGAGATTTGTGTAAGGGTGCGTGCACGGCTGAGCGTGCACCTTTCATCACCAACTGCAGCGCTGCAAAAAGTGAGAGCATTAATATTAATGTGGACCTCCTCTGGGAGTCTCGAGACATCTCTTGTCCTGGCAGCCGGATCACTTGGCCAGACTTGGTGTGCTCAGCTTTAAGCAAATAATTCCACTGAAAGCCAACAGGGCATCTGGCCAGCATTCACCAATGACACACACACATTCACTCTGGCTCTAGGAAGAGAGACGCTACTGCAGATTTTACGTAAACCTCCAACAGGCACCTGTCCTATAGCCTGCATTCAGACATCATCTACAAACACCTGGGATTTGTAGTTCTCTACGTGTAACTGAGAGTGGATCAGTCCATGCTGCGCTGCACACCAGAGCTCCTCGATGCCTCCTCTGGGCCCGCCTTAATGCTTTTCAGATTAAGAGAGGCGCATGGGTGGGAGGGTCTCAGAGACCTATCGAGAGACATGGCTGACCTTCTAGATAGACAGAGAGAGGAACAGAGCAGCCTGGACTGTTTCGGCTCCTCGACTCGAATCTGACCATTTTATAATAATAATCATCATTAAAATTTGGCCTTTAACAACAAAAACAGCAGAGCTTACATCTACATCTGGTCTCTTAAGTATGTCTTCCACTTTGGCAAGGTCTCCGTTGGCTGCTGCCTTGACCAGCTCCTCGTTGATGTCCCCAGACTCTTGTGTCTCAAAAAGCTTCTTTAACAACTGAGACAAACGCTCTGGGAAAACATGGGGAAGCAAAGATTGATCTTATGTAGGTGCCAAAGAAAATGGGGCAGCGAGGACAAAGAACTCATATGATACTCTGAGCTTCAGCAGCTGCTTGTTCACACATACCTCCAGAGGCATTGCTGACAGCGGAGCCAGAGGGGGCAATCTTGGTGACGGCGGCGGGATTATACGTCCACGAAGTCCCACAAACCTCCACCTTCAGGTCACTGTCGGAGTAGATCTGCTGCACGCGGCCCACCTTGCCCAGGGTCTGTTTAAAATGTTGCGACAAACTCGTTAGTATCTGATGGTTGTTCTCCTGTGGCCGCTTATGAAATCTGTGCGTGACAAAGTGGCAGAAGACAGATGGGGTGAGACTGGGAGACAAAAACTGCTAACAGCAGATGTGGGAGGACAAATGAAAATGGAGAAAAGGAAACTATTCCAAAAAAAGTCTTTTTGAAAATCAAGAACACTTGAAAAGTAAACCATGTTCTCATCTTTTGGTGGTTACCAGGAGGAAGGTGGAAATAAAGGCAACCATAATCTTCACTGGACTATTTCTCTTCTATACAGGCGGTACACAGAGGACGGGGCATCATTTCCCAATTTTGAATTATAGCATCTTGATGGCGACTATATAGGAACACTGCACTCTGATTCTATTGAGCTGGGTCTGACTGTCCTCGAGGATGTCATCAATAACCGGGACTGCAGCAATAGAAGAAGCAGCGGGCGACAAACAGCCATGGTTAGTGATCAAAGCTACAACTCGTCTCAGGGTTTTATGGCTCAGTAGCTGCTGAGGGGAGCCGCTTTCAATGGGACAAGTAACACACTAAAGCAAACCGGCATTACAGAGCATGTAGCATTCTCTGCAGCAATGAATAATCTTTATATTAGGAAATCAGCAAAGCATGCTGGGAGATGAGATGGGCTGTTAGAAGGAAATGCAGGAATAAATTAGCAGAAATGCTTGGGAATTTAGGAGTAGGATCCTGCAGTTTTTGCAAAACACACAATATTACAGCTAAACGTTAACATACATAATTGGTGTGATTTTTTTTTTTTAAGTCATACCGGGAGCATCGCCTCAGCCCACTCTCCGTGGCCTCGCTGTAGCAGCTTGATGCGGTCAATGTCGTAACAGATCTGGACCAGATCTCCCACGTGGAACTGGGAATTTCCCCCTTCAGCACCGGCTGCAACCTCACCACTACGTACCACATTAGCCTTGGTAAGCACAGCTGGGTTGAACGTCCATCTGTGGATAATAGGAAAGGCAGCTTTATTTGTATAGCTCATTTCACACACAGAGGCAATTCAATGTGCTTTCCATTACCGAGAACAGCATGAACATTTAAAACAACATTAAGAACAATTTCAGTACACAAATGTACTTCAGATTTAAGAGTAAAAAATAAAGTTAAAGGATGAGCAGTTACAGTGCAGAAGGTGCAGCTTAAGAAACATTTATTCAAAGGCTGATGAACACAGTTTTCAATTTTTATTTACAAGAGAAGACTAATTGTTACAGAAAAAATATATATACATAATTTTGTTTTGGAGACATCCTAAGCTAAGCCTAAAATTTGTATTAATATATTCACACCAAACAAGTAGTTTTAAACGAGTTAAATAATTGAAGTTTACAAACTTTCCAGCTTTAACGAGTTAAAGTGCTTGTTTCATAATTATAAAGGGTTCATAATTGTGTTTCTTTAATTATAAATTTCACTACAAATTATTCAACGTCTGTTTTGAGCTCCACTAATAAAACTACTACAGAAGTCCTGAGTGGTACTTTGCAGCATTTCAGTCAGCTATAAGGTAAAAAAGAATAGAATAATGTGGTTTGGTTAAGCCCATAGTGCACTTGCCTGTTCCCACTGGGGTACTGGACCACGATGTCGTGGTCCTCATCGATGCCACACACCGTGCCGGTGGTGGTGAGGGTCTCGAACATGCCGTCGGTCCACCCCCCGTGGCCGTGCTGGAGGGACTGGACGATCTCAAGGTCCAAGTCAATGTTGACCAGGTCTCCAATCTGAAGGCCACCAGGGTTTCTGTTGCCGTTCTGCTCCCCTGGGAAATAAAGGTCACTTAGGATTTATCAATACAAAAGTGCATTAATAAACGTTTGACAAAAAGATGGACTTTAAAACGAAGAAAAGTTACATTTATATAAATGCAGCACACTTACCTATTATATATAATAATATTCAAGCAAAATGGAACATTTTTCTTTAACTCCTGACTAGGTGTCTTGAATTTTTATCACCAGGTGACTATTGAGTGCTGCCATCTAGTGGTCAAACTGGATAGCTACAAGTAAAACTCCCTTAATGCCCTTGAATTCACTGCGCCAGAACAAGAGGTGAGAGAATTGGTGCAATAATGACGATAGACACACATCACTGGCTTACTTACCTAAAACAGGACAGTGGTCTCTGTAAAACGAGCCTCCTTTGGCGTCCTGGACACATTTCAGGTCCGACTGGGTGGAATTTGATAATAAAAAAAAGGGTAAAAAGGTTAGATAATTACACAAAGTAATTCTATTAGAGTAGCGTGTTCATGAATAATGAAAGAGAATTTTACACACTCGAGCTCCCCTGGCATAAGTGTTGCATATTCTAACAATATCAGCACCCTAGACACGAGGCAGGGCAACGATATCCGGAGAAAGCTTAGGATCATTTGTGATGACTCAGTCGTGGAGTCTTTGTGGCGGCATTAGAGGGCAGAGATGATTATAAGGTGAAACACACACTCCTGTGAACTGATGGAACGCCAAAGTACCAACAAGCCTCGACAAATATCAACTCCTGTCAAAGGTTTTGGATCCAGACTGTAACTAATACAGCATAGAAGGAAAATGGATTACAGTGCATTTGACTAATCTGAAATGATTTTGTTTATCAGATATTTAAAAAGTCAACATGGAGGGGGTCTAATTCATGGTTTACTCAATAGGCAGATGCCACCTCCATCCCCTTCATCCTATTAGAATAACAAAGGAAAAATCTGTTACGCAACTAAGAAATCCGATTGGCCGCTCTCAGCCAAAGAAGAGATGGCTTTACATTTGGGACGCGTGTCACTGTGCTCACAACAACCTGAAAGTTGACCTGCATGTTCACTCGCCCCCCCCCCCCCCCCCTTAAAAGCAGAAGGAGCAGATTGCCTTTATCATGCAGATATCGTCCCCTTCCAGCTGCCTGCACAATGGCTCCCTGCACATGCCGGCTGCACGACTCTTACAAAAGGCCAGGCAGCAAAAGAAAGGGCCCCATCCCAGTGGCTAAACACGAAGGCCACCTGACAGCTGTTCCTCTAGAGCAGACTGTCTGTGTGAGTGTGTGACTGAGCACGAGGCCGAAGGTTCCCCCTCCTCACCATTCCCTCGAAGCCGACTCGGTACAGGTTCTTGGCCCCGTTGTCCCACAGTACGTAGGCAGCGCTGTGAGGGCTGGCTGCACTCCAGTCCTGGATCTCTGTCACCTGCAAAGGAAAACAGATGAGGCGAGAAATGTTAAGGGCACTTTGAAGTAGAGATTAAAGTTTTTCTAAGAGTTAAACAAATAAACAGTTTGTGCAACGGAATAAGAAGAACCTGTACACACGTAGACGTGTTTCCCACAAAACAAAGGCTTCTTCCTACAGTTTGGCTCGAAATCCTCACAATAGTGAAGATAAACGCCACCAAAACAGATCGTTTTACATCTCAATAACTGCTCTTGGAAGACCACTGGCAAAGAACAACATTAAGGACGGTTATTGCCCACCACCGTAGTCATTTCACATCCAAGGAATGTTTTTGGTAAAGACGACGATGATTTGGGGAACTACTGCAGCCTACAGGCTTGACGTGACTATTATGAGGAGTTTTGAAACCTTTTAGAAAACAATGCCGCCAATTTACCGCAATGCTGAGTGGCATCAGGACACCTTATGTCATTTAAAAGTGGTCAGACGGCGGCGTGAACGTGGCGCAATTTTTACAAAATATTACACACAGGGTATCTGCAGGTTTAAGGGAGCCAAATTGAAGACTTTTTAAGACCTTTTTTAAGGCCACTTTGACCAAATTTAAGCAATTTTTTAAATGTCATTTCATCTATAATTTCCAGCTATTGCCTGAAACCGGTGCTAACCACATCGCGAACGTGGGATTAGCCATCCAGTTACCATTAAACTTGCACTTCCCCATGATGCAAGCTCCCACTAGCTTAACCAGCTAATGTGCTCATCTAAAAATAACCCCCTTTCACATCCAACTGAATGTGTACAGTTCCACTTATGCAAATATGACACACATAAAATGCTAAACACTAACTAGAAATTCACGAAAATTTTATAGAAATAAAGTAATCTTGTTTATTGGGTCTTTGGTAATTTAAGACCTTTGGAAACTGTATTTAAGGATTATTTGTCATTTTTAAGGATTTTTAAGGCCTTAAATTTGGAAAAGCTAATTTAAGACTTTTTAAGACTTTTTAAGGACCTGCGGATACCCTGTACACAGTAGCTATATAAAGGGGTATGGGGTGCTCTCTGCGCTGGTGTGAACTTCTATTTATCGTTAACATAACTTGCTTTTTATTGCGATCAACGCCGTGCCCATTAAGTTTTTTTGACAAGCTGCTCCTAACAGTGTCTGTCACTCATAGTTCCTGCGCAGTCTCTGGTAATCTGACCTCCGGAGAGAAGCTCCTGGAGCTCTGCATCGCTCCAGTTTATCATGTCACCTGGTTCTGTAAACAAAAGTAAAGCTTACTGCCCGTGTTTACTTTCATTTTCAATATAGTTGCTGCCCAGAGCTTGGCAGTAACTCCCCACGAGATCAAGACACCACCCTTTGTTGCGCCAAGGCGTAATATGGTTTTAAGTCGTGACTTGTGGATGTATCACTACCAAGCTTGGTGGAACAAATGCCACAAAATTCCCGCATTGCCATGTAAAACCTTGCTCATTGCCATGCAGGCTAGGACTCAAGCCCTTTTTATAAGACACACCATGCCGGCAAATCAGCATAATAGTGTCGCCAGGGCGCAGTCATAAGACACACAGTGGCTACATTATTACGCTGATTTCCTGGCATGGTGTTTCTTATAAAAAGGGCTTGAGTTAGCTCGTTCTGGGTAACTGCATTAAAATAGGCATCAGCCTCTACTATCCTACATAGTGCTGAGCCGACCATACACACCCACCTATGTACTGATTCTCCAATCACTCTCACGCCTACCGACTAGTGGGAGCCTCTGGTTAGCAGGGGTAGAATCAGCCAGTGGCGGCTTTTTGCATGTGCAATTCATTAGCAATCTGAAAGCAGTGGGGTAACATCTTATCAGACTGCGGCTGGCAGCATGTGGACTGACCGTCTTCTGTGAGCGCTCTTGGATGGGAGAGGAGTCCACAGCAGCACTGCTGCTCAGTGAGACGGGTAGGAAGCTGTGTGCTTCATGTCAGAGTCTCCAAAATGCACATTGCTCATGCCTGCTTTTGTTTACCAACTTGTAGTGCTTAGAAGTGACACCAAGGGACTTCTCTGCGCTACTAACAGAGCTCGCCCTGTTCGCACCAACAGCCATGTTCTTGAAAAGAACAAGGCTGTTGGTGCATCTTAATGCACTTTTGTATTGCGTAAACACAACCTGGCCACGCGGGAGCGAGCTGACCTAAGAGTAGATGGGCCATGAATGTGCTTTCCAATGCATGGCTTATTAGAAAACCAGGTGACGTAGACCAAAGTGCTTTACCGAGAGAATAGGTAGGATATTTGCTTTTACAGAAACCCGGCTACTTGTGAACATGGTCTAAAGCCGGGCGTACACTGTGCGACTTTTTCACTTTTTTGAGCCGATTTTCCAGTCGTGCGAGAATCCACGACATCGGGGCGAGTTTTGCGCCGAGCGGTCGTGTAGTGTACAGGGGGTTACGAGAGGTGATTAACACCACGTGACCAGCCGCTGATCAGCAGTCGTGAGGTCGCAGGGGACTTCTGGTGTGTTCAATATTTCGCTCGTCCCTCGTGAGGGTATCGCACTGTTGAAGCGGCGCTGCGAGCAGCTGCGAGCAGCTACGATCCAAAAAGTATCAGAACCGCTCACGGCGCATGCGCGCGCGATCCTGCATCAACGCCGGCCGGTCGCTCGCTATTTCCCTAATAACACACGCTGTTCGTTTTTGTTTCTACACGTTTTTTTTACTCACAAAGATTGTCAAGAAAGCGTGTTTGTCGTGTTCATGTCAAATTAAACTGATCACAAAACACAGATTTACTTTCTTTATTTCGTTTCCTCATCCAACCCCCATAAATCCCTGTGTGTCCTCCTGCAGCACTCCCGAAGGACAACAGGCAAGACAAATTTTAGCACATTTTTAGGGCCGACGTGTTGCTACCAGACGTACAGTGTGAGCAGTCAGGTCGCATGCGAGAACTGGGTCGTACAGTGTGAGCACACGACTCGTGAGATCTGCTCTGCGAGGAAGTCGTACAGTTTGAGCTGAAGCTGAACGCTGCGAGTGAAAAAGTCGCACAGTGTACCCCCGGCTTAAGTGAAACCTAGAATTTCTTCAAATTCATGAAATAATTTAAATATAAGCTATGCATTGTTTTCAAAACTTTGCTAGCATGTCAAGGAAAAGGCTTTACTGGATGCAAACCAAAGAGTGTGTGCCTTAAGTAAATACAGCGACCCAACTTCAATTACCTTCATGTCGCTTTCACAGCTAACTGATTAATGGGCTCTGGGAGGGAATATTCATGCTGACCTAACAGAACATCTAAGCTGCAGGACATCTTCTACAGAGCGTATGGCTTACAGCATCATAAAACAATAATGAGATATGTCATTAAAATAACACTATAAAATAAACTTTACATCGCCTGAAGGGGCTCTTAAATTGAATCTCTGGGGTCTGCGTCACTCTTATGCAAACACTTTAGAGCAGTTCTAGTAAAAATGTATAGACAGAGAGGAAACAAATGCAGAATGTATTGAATGAGACATGTACTAAATTTAAAAAAAAACTGCAATAAAGAGGCCAGTTTTTGCCAAAGAATGAACAGAAATTAGAAGCAAAAATGTGTGAATAACTTGAGATATGAGGATAAAATTGAAGGGAAAAGATGTTTAAATTAAGCATCCAAGTTAATTCTCCTAATTTATGAAGATCTCTCCTGTAGATCTGCTTTCCTTCTATGGTTGAAGCCTAAAATTAGCATTACACATAAAAAGATAAAAAAAAATCACAATAACCCATTCAGCTCGGCAATGGCGTAACAGATGGGGTCAGTTTGTGCGCGTTTTTCCTTTTCTGTGTTCATTTTACGAGGATGTTGTGTCAGCCCTTCCTGTTTTGGCTGAAGCCGCAGCTCATTTAAATCAAATCACATCCTTGGGTGGAAGCTTGCGTTTTCCTCACAAAGTCTGTTAAGAGCTAAAATCCCTGGAGTCTCCTCTTGAATATTATACAGCCAGGAAAAGCCAGCACATCAGTTTCTACTAGTAACCCCCACATGCCATTTGTCAGTATGAATACATATTTTCTACTTCTAATCCCGAATCCACACCGAAAGCATCAGCAGCACAGAATGTTTTACTTGCGTGCTTCGCAGTGCGTCAGTCGACGCCTGGGAAGTCTCAGCCGCAGAGCAGCTACGCCGCCGTGCTCCTCGTGAGATCACAAAATCCCACGAGACTTCAAAAGTCACCGTTTGTTTATGCCATCCACCATTGTCCGATGTCATATACATATATAATGTTGTTCCTTTCTATTACCAGGATTAAAGACATGAAAAACACACTGTTGCACTTCTTGAAAGATGCTGGGATGAAATAAACCATTAGGTCACATGTTTAGACGTAATCTGCATAGATAAGAAATTGCATCTCTGTAATAGCCTTTTATTTTGAAAATTATCAAACGTTTGACACCAAAACCGTATGTGACTTCCTGTCCAGCTCTATGTTATCTGTGGACATTGACAAGTCTCATAAGCTGCTCGCAGCAACATTAGAACCCACCCTATCTTTAGCAGCATGGCGCGCTGGCGAGCCGCTTCTGGAACGCACCTGAAATGTTTTGGGCCGCGACTGATTTTGTTCAACCCACAGATTCTATCAGCAACATACCAGAGCCGTTCCACACCACTGATGCCTCCAGTGTGGATTAAGGGTTAGAAAGAATACAGAATGATAAAGAGGAAAGTAATAGAGGTTTTGCTCTCTGTACCTTTCCTCTCCTTCCATTGCCTCCATCTTGGTCCTCCCACTGCCAGTCTACTCCTCTCACAACCCGGCCACCAGCGAAGATCCCTCTGGCTGTGATTTTCTTTGACTTGCGACGGGACTCCAAAAGCACTCTGCTCAGGGATAACATTCACACAAAAAAAATTTTTTTGTTATAAAATCAACCATGGGACGCTCAACTGAGATTACTTAGAGCAGCTCTATTGGTGATTTTATATTTATTTCTAACATAAATGTAGAGGAGATACCAGTAAGTGATAATAACCCTAACCCATAACAAAAGTTTGAGTTTTCGCAAAAAAAATTGCAAATAATTCATAGACTATTATAACACATGCTAAAACTCAGGAAAAGTGTTGCGTTGTAATAAAAGATAATGCGGGTTTGTTGCAATTAATGTTGTCTCCAGGTTTGTAACATTTAAGCTTAAATATCGACTAATGTAGGGGTCATGGCCCAACAATGCGCTGCCTTACCTGTAAGCTACAATGTCGTAATAATAACTCTAGATGCACAGTACTTCTGAGCATGAATTCCTCTTTGAACACTGAATTTAACAGACTCTTGAATTTTAATTCAATGCTCTGCTCAGAGTCAAAAACCAAACATTTAACCAAAGTTAATCAAAAATAATCAACATACTGACCAAATATTAAATATACAAAAACTGTAGAAAAACAAATTGAAAATGTTTTAGAACTTTTGTTAAGCAGATGTTTTTCAGGAATGTGTTTCCTTTTATTCGGCACTAGGACTAGGCTGCCCGTAAATGTGCCTGACTTGATATCAGCGCCACTGAAGACATACATCAGCCGATCGAAGTATAATACATTTTAAAAAAAGATCATTATTGGCCCAAAATATTAACTGACCGATAAATCTGTCTACTCCTAATTTGAATTTTTATTTTTTAAATAATCATTTGTCGTATGTCAAAAATAAAAAGAATTGTACACATTCTACTTGAAATTTTGGGAGTTTTACATGTATGATGATTTTTTTTAAAGGTGTTGAACACTCGTTTAATCAATACAGTTGCAGTGAAAGAAAGAAAAGAAAAGATCTTTTATATAGCGCCTCTCAAGATAAAAAAATCATGAGGCGCTACACAAAACAAAAGATTTAAATATAAACAAGACTTCAAAAATGATTAAAAATATGTTTAAAAAGAGAAAAGGAAACAAAACTGTAAGTAAAGGAAGCCAGAAACTGAATAGGAAAGAGGAAAATCAATGGAACCTAGGAAAGGCGGAATAAGTACAGAATAAGAAGAGGGTGTTGGTCTCTAGTGGGAGTGAATGTCTAGAAAGAAAAACACCAGTGCGTCATTTACAGGAACTAAAAGTGAGTCACATCACAGCTGAGCTTCAGACATCAGATTTTGGAATTTTATTTCCCCGACATCTGGACATCTCGCCTCGGATTGGATAACAGTAACGTGGCTCTACCACTGACTCCAATGTGGATGTTTTACCTCCACAAATCACACAAGCCTGGAAGAGTTCTGCTGTGTGGTGGAGTTGCTAATGCCAACGGTTAGGTTCTACTAGCTGAGACGTTCTCTGCCGTTTCCTGGATGCTGAACCAACAACATCCTTCCTTGCCGTGAGTCAAGATTGGTGAGTCCATAAATATTATGTGACAGTGTGACGTAGATCTGTCAGGTTTTTCAAATCCTAGAGTCAGAAACTAATGCAGGAGATAGCTGTAGGAGACTATTTTCATGTTCAACATATTTTAGGAACTCAGAGTGACTGATAATCAGAAATAATCATTAAAAAATGTTTTTTCAGTGCCCCACACTTTAAAATTAAATTCGGGAAACTTTTAACTAAATTGGCTTTCGGTGATAATAAAGATAACTTGAGCCTTGATGAAAATAAGGCAGAATCGCATTTTTGACTAAAAGTCTGGGAATATTATAGACAGAGACACCCAGCAGGGTTCTGGACTTCAAAGAGACCCGGGATGTTGGTCTAACCAGAGCAGACAGCTTGGAGTTTCTATCCAATCTCTTTTCAGAGGCCAATGAAAAAAATCTATGTGGTGTAACCAAACGCCGCACCAAGCTGTAACAACTATGTGAGCTGAGCAGACCTTCTGCAGCACCCATTGTGCATTATGCAATGTCTGTCTCAGGGGACACCGGGCCATGCTCAGTAGAAAAAAAAGCTGCCAGCTGTTTGGCTTGAGTGTTTCCTTTACTAAATTATGACGGTTTACTGAAAAGGGCCTGAAGAACAGATCAAAATCACAGTACTGATAATCTGTAAAATACCATACAAGTCTAGTGAGTAAGTAATGCTCTCATAGTGTGTGTCCTAAAAATGTTCACACCCTCATCATGGAGGAGTTTATTACCAGAGTCTTCCGTTGAATTACAAAAGGTCTTGGCACACAAGGTCCTATTCCTTTTCCAAACTGGAAAAGCCGTTGCGCAAACCCTGAAATGACCCAGCTGTGGTGACATTTGCAAAACGTCCTTAAATGTTTGCCAAGACATCTTGAGAGCTCTCCTACAGAAATGCGTCTTCAAAATAAATCATCACTGGAAAATACATTTATCATCAAAGATTCATAATAACTAAAAAAGCAGTTTTAGGAATTTCTGGAATCAAAACACAGGCCTGCTCATTAACAATTTTATATTATCATCACAATCTCTCTATTTTAAAGCATCCCATCGCCTGATGCATGGACCCTAGACTTGTCCAAATTTGATATTATAAAACGTATTCTAAGGGTGTATCTATCCAGTTCCTTTCCCATTTTTTTCTGTGATGTGCACACATCATGCTTAATAAACTGGCTTCTAGACCCATTATTGAGAAACTAATTGCTTCAAATGTTATTTTAGAAAATAGGAAAAATATGTAATATATCACATCAGTGGGATCCCTGACATCTAAATGTACATTTTAATTTCGTTTAACAGCAGACGACTGAATTTTGAAATAAGGCTAAGCGGTTGCTTGGCAACTAAAGGACAGCAGCTTTTAGATAGATGCTCCCCACCTCTTACGCAGGCAGTGGAATAAAAACTTTAGGTGTGGATCATTCACATAGAATAAAGTCATGTAAGGACCAACCAATCATCACGAAGAGCAGAAACTCCTGCTTCTTTTAACCATGAGCGAATGGTGCGAGGCTTCGCTCAACAACAGCAAATGTTTCCTTAACTAACCGTTCACTGCCTGGGGTGGTGATCCTGTAGAACCGATGTCTCAAGTGATGCTTGTCTCCATGGTAACAGGTTGTGCAGAGGTCATAATTGGTGCACTCTGCACATTTCCAGCGAATACCGATGATCGGCTGCTGACGACAGGTGTCACACATGGTTCCATCATGTTTGATACCTGAGGGGAATTGGGATTTATAAGTTAACAATACTTGAGACCGTCTTGTGCAGCAGTTTGTCTCAAGCCATCTAAGGCATTTTAAAGGCACATCGGCTGTACAAGAACATGTGTGTGTGCAATGATTCAGTGCTTCTGAGTGAGTGCATAACATATTGCACTTTGTTACACATAATCTTTGTACTTGTACACTGTCCTGTCACACAGATCTGATCTGAGATGCACAGGTATTTAAATTAGCAGCTGCATCAGGCGATTTATAAAAATAAGATTCTCAATTTAATAAGTAGCACTTTTATAATTATGCCTTCTCATTTCTTTGTTTTTTTAACCGTTTACTTGCTTCCAACCTGAATATCATTTCAGTTTTTTTCATAGAAACTATGAAACTGCAGCGTAAATTATCAGAATCTTGCTAGACAAAAACTTTTCTGATGCACTGGAACTTCCCTGGAACCTACAAGTGCTGTGAAAGTACATCGATGGAGGTGGTTAGCGAGTTACCTGTTGGAGCGCTGTCTAGTATCCTTATGTCGTAAGCTCCGGAACAGCGGTAGTTGGCAGCAGTCCCGTTATCCCAAACAACCACCACCTCTTCTGGACTTTCAAAACTCCTGACGGTTCCGACGTGCCCCTCTCCACCATCCTGCTTTCCCCACTTCCAGTCAGGTCCTCGGACCACTCTGGCTCCAACTCCTTCCATCATCGCTCGATTGTTCCTCCCGGTGGTCATTTAAAACAGATCCCGCAAAACCACCAAAAATGAAAATAAGTTAGCGACCTAGCAGAGTTTGCTAGCAAGCTGTCGTTTCGGTGGAAGACAGTTTTCCAATCAAGTAAAGGCAAGTCTTAACAGGAAAGAAATTGGAACAATCCACAAAGACAGACTGCTTATTCCCAAGGAGGGTGTTGGAGCCTCTTCCCAAAACTACAAGCTAACGACAACTGCAAGTCCGAGCTCACTACTGGGCATACCCGCTGCTAATGAGGATCTAATTATACTTAGAGACTTCAAGTAGACGCATTAAGAACTGCATAATTCTCGGTTTACAACAGGTTGACTGCTTCCCTTCTCCAGTTCACACAAAAGTGCCACCTTTTTAACTTAGCAAGCTAGCACAATTGCTAGCAATAGCATCGCTAGCAATGTAAATTTATCCAGGCTCCTTTTAGCTGAAAGCGAAGCTGTGCATCTTTTCGCCAACTGTCCCTAACGCGGTTTTCAAAAGTGCAAAGCAAATTATACAGTGGGTTCTTTTCGTCAGTCTGAGATCGCTCCATGGGAACAAATCAGAATAAACGCGTCGCCATTATATTCAATCATTGTTCGAGCCTCAGACCAGACGAGCAACAACTAGCTACGGAGACGTACGATGGAGCCCGATGAAGCACGAAGACGGCAGGCTTTGTGAAAACAAGCTGAACTCAGGACCTTCACTTCACTACGCATGCGCGCAGAGGCCACGTGAGGAGCAGGAAAAATAGGTGGAAACCATGGTGGAAACATCTTTTCTCCAAGACAAGAACAAAGAACTGTGCTACAACTTAGTCCAGTGTCTTGCCAAATGTTTCAAACATAAACAAAGAATACTTAATTTATTCCCCAACTTTGAAGTGTTTCTGACTTTTGACATTTATCTACAATCCCTATATGCATTAAAATTGTCAATATATGAATTACTGTGTAATCTTCCAAGAAATGTACAATATTCCCTTGGTTCGCATTTTTTCCATTATTATTTATTTCTCTATTTTATTTAGTTTGCCTGTTCAATTCCTGTATCAATTGCTCTAAATTACATCTTTGCCTTTCTGGTTCTGTATTTAAAATTGCAAAATTAAAAAACTTAAATAAAATATAAATCTTTGTTTGTTTGTTTTTTACTTATAAAAGAACTCATTTCAAAATTATTATTTCTTTAGAATATTGTTTTCTATATTATTCAGCTGACTTTTGTGGGAAGGATATTTAACAGAGTAATTTTTATGCAGATGATTAAATATTGACATTACAGTCCCATTAAATCACAACTAAGAAATGCAGGCAGAAAAAGACTGAATGAGTCAGTAGTGGGGGGTTTTCTGTAAAAACAGTTCTTAATAGTTTTCCAACTTCAAACATGCCTTTTGGAGGAACAAACCATGCATGAAAATCCTGAAATTTTGCATACTGGTAAAAATAAACAAGAATAGTTTTTTTTCATAAAGATATACCTCCTAGAATCATTTTGATTATATGTATAACCATTTCAAAATGCAGAAAACAAGTTGATTTTGCTTGCTGTGACTTTTTACTGGATGCTGACACAAAACTCTTGCACAAGGTTGTATAGAAGAAGAAAGGATTATATAGCACCTTTCAAGATAAGTCATGAGGCACAATAAAATAACAATAAACATTTTTTAAATCATAAAAATGGGAGAAAAGCTGAAAAGTTAAGATAAAAAATAAGCATAATAATTTCTAAAGGTACACACAGGAACCAAAAAATAAAGAATTGGCAGAAGCAGCAGCTAGTGAGGAAGATGAAGATTTCACATTAGTCCAGCACCAAAAAATTGTGCACACACTGCATTTTATGGGCCCTGTAGAAATTTCAGTCACTCCCATCAACTGTTTTTACTGACATTTATGAAACATTTTTATACATGAATACAAAATTCTATAAGGACCCATTTCCAAAATACTGCAGGAAGCCATTATGGATTAAATGTGTCATAAGGTCCCTTGTGGCAATAGACCTGGATAAAACCCACTTAATTGATTTTTTTAAATAATAAAAACATTTATTTTGTGACAGCTGAATACACCTGAAACTGAACTACATAAACGTAAACAGGACTTTGGGGCAAGATTTCACGAGGACAAACTGACCTCCTTTGGGCCCGTACCTTACATTTATAAATGCCTTAAATTAATAACAATAGCAAGGTGTTTAAACACAAATAGAAGCCCTGGAACATCTGTGCATGATGAGTCCCCTTTAGATTATGTAGCCTTGGGGCTCTAAGGATTTAATGATTTTTTCATTAATTAAATTGCCACAAGTACCCACAGGGTCCCATGTGAGCTTGTACTCATGGGTATTCCCATGAGTTGCTTCGAAGATCCATTTTATTCATATCAGTATTATTTTTTATGTATTTTCATTAATAAATCCTATAGAATTTAATCGAAAGTATTTATGTCAATTTGATCATACTGTAAAAACCTTTCACCTGATTTTCGACTGATGAGTTGTTGAAATCAGAGGCAGAGTTGAATGTTTTGCAAATTCATTCTGTGACCAGCAGGGGGCGACATATTTCCTTGACACGACATGAGATGCGCTCGTGCAGCCTCCAGCCGCTCAGAGAGCGCCACCTCTCGTTTATTCCCATATTTCTCACATCACCGGGTCCCCTTGAACTGTCTCCTTCATCACAGTTGGTTCGCAGGCAGACACAGCGGATTTCCAACCAAGCTGGCCGGTGCTCTAACCCCACAGGAGACAACAGGGACCTTGCAATGATCTCGCTGGACTTCAATTTCAACATTTTGACAAGAGACCTGTCTCATTATTTGGAAAACCAAGTGAAAGTTGGACTATTTGGTTCGGGAGTGGGTCTGTCTCTGGTGCTGGGCTTTAGCGCAGCTTACACCTGCTACTATTTGATTTCTGTAGCCAAGGTAAGTTAAGGTGTATCGGCGGTGTTTGGATTGATTATTCGTGTGTTAATAGCTGCTGTAGAGCGGAGGGAAACGCAGCATGGTTTTGTCATCTAGGAGCATCCCGACTGTCAGCCGGTACCGGCGAGTGATGAGATGACAGGCGGCTGAAGTGAGTTTACGATTCATCACAGGGCTAAAGGACGATTCCGTGTATTTTCACCTCCATCTAGTGCCCATTTGAGCAACTGTGGTTTAAATTTAAAATTTTAGTTGACAGTTTAAACACGGAGTATAATATTAACATGCATTAAAACAGAACATTTTTGAATTTGTGAAAACTGTTAAATATATGAAAGTTCAAGATAATTCAAAGTTCAAGCACATTTTGGGGGGCTCCGTCCTGCATTACTGCAGTATGCAACTAGGCATGTCCAATGTGGAGCCCAGGGGCCACTTGTGGCCCTCGAAGCGACAGCTGTTTAAAATATTCCCTATTCAATAAATAAAAGTTAAAAAGTTGGGATCGACCCACCAATTACAAGATGTTCACCTCAGAGCCAGGAATGCTCACAAGCTTTCTCAGAAAAATACCCATAAAGTGCTACGGTGCCTAAGTCACGCCCATCTACTTCCGGATCATGGGTCTACTCCCTGCAGGTGGATATATTTTAGGTCTTGCACCAGATTAATACAAATTTTAAAATAGTTACGTTCTCACAGTAGAAAAAATGGAACCAATATCTGACAAAACTGCCTCCCTAAAAGTAAAACTGACAACAAATGACTAAGTGACCCAGTTTTATCATGCTTGGTTTAACCTAAAGTTTAGGTTAGCTAAGGGCTAGCTAGTGCTTACAATTCAGCAAGTTGATGGCTGGAGAGGACAATTTTCCCAGCATGAAATGCACGCTCTTTTCAGAATGTGTTTAAATCTTTAGTAGATTGTTATAAGCTAAAATGTTGTTTTAAACACGATTTGTCAAAATTTTGTTATTTAATTTGTACAACTTATTTAAAAGGTAATTTATTGCTTATTTTATTTTATTGCATCTGAGTCACATTTAAACCTCCTCAGTTCTGAAACTGTAGAACCTTCTTCTTCTTCTGCTTCATCTACTTCAAAATAAGATTATAATATGTGTAAACTCAGGAATCAGGAATGGACATTTCATTTATGATATTACTTATGTTTTTTGTTTTTTGTTTTTTGATGAACTACATAAATTTCACAAGTTAGCCAAACTGTTCTGGAAGAAAGTATATCTAGCCCAAGTCGGAACGTCGGAACACTCGAAGTTCCGTCATTTTAAGACAGGAAGGAAAAAAGCGGAATGCCCCTTTAGCCTGAAACCGATTCGTAAACTAACTTCAGTTCCGTCGCCAGTTCGGTTTGGTCGCCTCATCCCGGTGATGCCCGGCTGTAGCTGCAGCACATGTGCTGCCGACAGATTCTCTTTCTACACCAAACATTCGCCTGAAATGCACCAGATGACGTAATGGTGTTATGTTTTATTATCAGGTTGTGAGACCGTTAGTTTGATATGGGCTTAGGTAGGCCAGCATTTGTTAGAAAACCGGTTCGGTTCGAGGGTTTTATGTAACGCACGCTGCTGTCATTTTATATAACAACACAGAACATTTAGTCACAATTCAGTTTTATTGCAATGCACGTTTGCTGCAGATGCATTCATGAATTACACTGTCTGACTGAGTTCATAAGGGAGTTATAAATGTATGAATTATAAAAGAGTAAATCTAATTCAATCCAACTTTATTTAAAAAGCCGTATAAAACAAAGGGATGAAATGCTGTGCAGAAGTTAAAAAATGAAGCTAAAATAACCTAAAAGCATTTCAACGTCAGTGAAAAAGCTGAGTTCTGTTAGAATTAGTCTCATCATTTACAAAAATTGAAATATCCATATGAAAACATTCTTCAAGGCTTTTGCCAAATTAATTTGAGATTTTTGTCTTGGAAACTACACTTTTCATCACTTTGTATACATATGATGTGAAAAAGTTTTGTATGAATGTTTTAGAAACAAATCACTCATCAGAGTTAATAACATTATTTCTTCCAGATTCTGGTGAAACATTTGGTAGGGCACATTTTAAATGGCACATCTTATCCAGGCAACAAATAAATAAACAATGAAAAAATAAAATTTCAAAAAATAGGGACATGTTAAAAAGTACAAATTTATTACTATATAATAATGATAATAATAATAATAACAATAAAATTACATTACATCATATAGCACAAGTTAAATCAAAAATCATTACATTTTTAATGTGGATATTTAAGATTTAAATAACTTTAATAAGTTTTTCAATGAACTTTTGTTTAACTTCACTCACTTCTCTTTTCTTCCAGAAACCTCAGCTTATATCAGGAGGTAAAAAGTTCTGTCAGTTCCTTAAGGAGCAATGTCCAGTAGTGTCAGAGACCTACTACCCTACGTTTTGGTGCTGGGAGAGTCGCATCCAGACTCTGCTGAGGCCCTTTGTCACTGCCAAACCTGGAGTTGTCTATAGAAAGTGAGTCCTCACATAATTAAACCGACATCATGCAAGTTTTTTTGTTTCCAAGTGTAACGGTATGAAATGACTGTTTTCCACCAAAAGTCATTTTCCCCCTCTCCTCTGACACAGAACTAGTCTGCATGAGATATGGCCTCAAGTTCTCATGCATTTGCTTATAAACTGCTTCTTTCCAGCTCAACAGAATGAAGAATGGACTCTCTCCCAGAATCTGCCAGATCTGAATGGATCAGTAAAACAATGTGTCATATTTTTTAACGCTACGTGAGATCAGTCCTAGTGGAACATTTAAAGTCATATTACTTATTATATTCTATAGGATTATAATAAAGTAATTAATATTTTGATTTCACAGATTGGTCACATCTTATTTATTGACTAACACTTTGTTTGATTAGCTTATTAAAATAGAGTTCTTTGATTTATTAAAAGGAGAGAGTCCATTCTTCATTCTTCTCTTGAGCTGGAAAGAAGCAATTTATAACAAATGCATGCGACCTTGAGGCCATGCCTCATGCAGACTAGTTCTGTGTCAGAGGAGAGGGGGAAAATTACTTTTGGTGGAAAACAGTCATTTCATACCGTTACACAAGTGGATCGTTTACTTCTCATTTCCATACATATATCAGACATAAAGTGTCAATCAAAAGTTTAAGGCCATGTGAAAAATGGCTGAAACGATTTTGCATGGTTGGATTTTAACAAGGTAACAAGTAAAGCTTCAATATGCAAGAAGAAATGGGAGGGAGATGAAACATTTTCTGAGCAGCTATTTGTTGAAAACATACTGAAACAGGCAGCTGATAAAACATTTAAGAACACGTGTCTTTAACAGGCCAAATCTGTGCTAAAGTGTGGATTCATGACATGTTGACGGAAAAGACAAAAACAGAACTTTGCCATTTTGAGTGTGGTCAGGTTGTTGAACTACACCAGCATTGTCTGTTGTACTGCACCATCACTGTTGGGGTGGGATGCAGTAAGAAAGTCCTTTGGATTTGTTCAAATGATTCTGAGGGTTATAGAACAAGAAAGTCATGTAGAAGACCCCAAAAGATTTCACCAAGTCTGAGGAACCATTTAGCCGTCTGCCAAGACACTGCAAGGCGATCCTTGACCCAGCTTAAGGCTCTTACTGGTGCTGATTGCAGCCCCCAAACTATTAGATGGCATCTGAGACTGAAGGATTTCAAAAACAAAAAGATGTCTTCGTAAGCCTCGTCTCCTTGGACGCCACTGAACTGACTGTTTGAACTTTGCAAGAGAGCACCAAACGGTGAAAGGTGGAAGAAAGTTTTATCCTGTGATTAGAAATTTTACCTTGATGGTTTCCAGCCTTACTGGGATGAGATCCCATCTGAGATGTTTTCTACGTACTACAGTGGAGGAGGCACCATAATGGTCTGGGGTGCTTTTTCCTTCATACAATGGAGCTTCAGGAGTTGCGGGGGCATCAAATAGCTGCTGGCTATGTCCAGATGTTGCAGAGAGCATCCCTCAGACTGAAAGTCCTCAGTCTGCGTGGCAACGACTGGGTGTTTCAGCAGGACAACGCTGTACTCAATGCCTGCAGGGCAAGGGACTACTTCCTGGAGAATAAAATCACTTTTTTGGACCATCCTACGTATTCCCTTGATCTAAATCCAGTTGAAAACCTTAAAGGATGGATGGCAAGGGAAGTTTACAAAAATGGACAACTGTTCCAGACAGTAGATGCCCTCCGTGTGGCCATCATCACCACTTGGAGAAATGTTCTCACTCACCTCCCGGAAACACTTGCATCAAGCATGTCCAGGGGTGGACTGGCCTTTCTGGCATTCTGGCAATGTCCCGGTGGGTCGCTTAGTCAAGTGGGCAGCTTGCCCAGCTTGGGCCGACACGAATCGCCACCCATCTCCCCCTTGCTCTCACACTGGTCTGGTCATTTTTCAAGTGGTGTAAAACTTGCTTGGGACTATATATTGTAATCTTTACAGATGCCTCAACATTCACCAATGAGCCAAATACACATATCATACATATCTTACATGTGTGTATCATAAACTGAAGTGTGTATGCATTGTTGGGTATCTGCCATGCGCAAGGGATTAGACAATAAAGCCCAAAACAAAACCGCGTTTGAAGAACTTTGAAAAAGTGGACGCAATGAAACAATTCTAGAATATAAAACCTGGATTATAACCAAATTATTCTATTTTTAATCTCTGTTGGATTTTATGTTAGTTTTTTTTTTGTTACCCTGCAAAAAGTCACTTGTGTGGTTGTAGTAAACAGTACTATATATTTTACTGTTGATGTGCCTTTCTTTACTCGTTATTTAAAATATTGGTCCCAGGTGTCCATCTCAAGGATGTCCTTACCCCCTTTTGGCTTTTTAATGTCTTCTTTGTCAAGGAGATTGTTATTCACACCATGCACACAGGCGTGGACCCATTCTTGGTGCAGATCTCTGGTATGAAACCTGTGAAGACCGATGGTCACAACCGCTGTAATAATGAAATGTCCCTTGGGGGAAATTGGAGCACTCCCTCCCCCTCCAGTAATGAAACCATCCAAGGTTCACCCAAAGACTGACCAGGTGTAAGCTGTCCCATTTGTTTCAGGTGAAATTCCTCTCACCTTGCTGTCTGATGGGTAGGATTATAGCACCCCCCACATTGTGTGCTCGTTGCTCCGCATCAGCCCTCCTCGGCTCTAAATCAGTAACCTCAGGTGTATATTTCATGGCGGCTCTGTAATTTCACGCTGATGTCTGTACCACAGGCTCACCAGCAGCTCTGTGTGCACGTTTTAAAGGTGCTAGGACTGAACAACCTCATCTACTACGCTACGCTTGTATAGCACAGAAATTGATTGACCATAAGAACCCAGTGGTGCAGTGCCCGCCTCAGTATCTTATCAGACTGCGTGTTGCAAAGTCCAGAAAAAAGGTGATCAGCAGGCAAATGAGGTAGCTGCCAGTGAGCCGGGGCGCACATATCCAGTTCCCCTCGGGCTGTCTGGGATGGATACGACCAAGTCATCTCTTTACCTGGAACTCAGCTGGTAACCTAAACTGTGCAGAGTGGAATCACAGTTATTGAACACTTTCCAGTTAACTTAAATGACACATATATAAGATGAATTTACTATTAATTGTCATCATCATGGAGATAATTTGTGCATGTGAGTGGAGTAGATGCGAGATCAGTTTCCAAAAGACCCACGCTGCTGAGCTGCATGTCCCCTCCTTATCTCTGCAGTGAGCTTCTTAAGGCAGCAGATGGAGGACAGATATCTGTGGACTGGTTTGACAACGATGACAGCCACTCTTACCCCGACCCCACCACCAGACCCACGGTCCTCCTCCTCCCTGGTCTGACCGGCACCAGCCGAGAGTCCTACATCCTGCACATGGTCCAGCAGAGCCGAGATCTGGGCTATAGGTGGGTGGTCTTGTACAGAGACCGCTGGCTGTGGTCCAGCACTGAGCAGACATTCAAGGCACTAAATAACAGACTAGGATTGAGATTTTGTGTCCAAATAAATCTTATTGAAAACTAAAATAGAAGAACGTAACCTGTCTTTTTATGTCATTTTCCTCAGAAACAGAGCCTGGGGTTATTTTAGGTGAAGTGTTCCAACAAAGGGAGCAGCTCAGCAGCTTTTGTAAATAACCCAATCTGGCAAAAGCTACAAGAGTTGCAAAGAGGTGCAGTTTTCCTCCTGGTTCCCTTCATCTCCAAGGGTCTCTTTTTCTTTTATTTTTTTATACTTTCTGCACTCATTCTTTCACCCGGAATGACTGGGAGGAGAGCCAGCACACTCAGCATCGTCCACCTCTCACGCTTGTCTGTGTGGCTTAATTAATTACAGCTTATCCCCGTACAAGCTTTGCAGCTTAGCTCCGACCAGCTTCCGTGTTCCTGCTGCAGAGCACCCCGCCTCCTGCTGCTCAGCGCCCCGCGTAGCCGCACAACGCTGCTGACTTTCACTGCTAGAAACTGCAGCTCTGACTCCGCCACATAATAGATGACCGGGGAGACGTGACAGAGGAGAGATGCTGATATCTTTGCTTTGCGGAACGTGCCAAGCGCTCTTTTTGCATCAGCTCGTTTCTGAGGAAATATTTGGATAAGAAACTTTTTTTTTTCTGAGAATACCTGAGCATAATTTTAATCTGTCCTAATGTTTGAGCCAAAAGAGAATTACTTGTGAACTTTTGGGTCAAAAAGAAAGCTTCAGAAAAATTAAAATTCATTATTTAATTCAATTTAATAAACACTTTCATCATAGGGATCTGTGCTCTTTCAGGGATGTTTTAGTTTTGTTTACACATAAACTGTTCTATAAGTCTTGTGTTCAAAGTTAAACTATATATAATCCATATTTTTAAATGATTTCTTGAAAAAAAACTCAATCTTTTTTGACATGAGTAGATAAAGTAATAAAGTAAAACAATACTTTTTTATCTATTGCAGGTGTGTGGTTTTCAACAACAGAGGGGTTTCTGGGGAAACGTTACTGGTAAGAGTGCACTGGTAGGGAGCTTAAAAATGTTTTAGAGTGCCGTTCTTCCTTATTTGTCCTGGAGTCTCCTGTGCACATGCAGCAAAGCCTGCAGGAAGTGGACGGAGAACACACCTTTTTGTTGTTACACTGCTGGGATTAAGTTGCAGGCATACCTTATTTTTCATGCAGATGCACAGAAATCTGACCTCATCAAAACACACACCTGGTTTATCTGCCCTTTGACCAACAACCCCCAGTTCCACTCAGGCTGGTGTGGTTTTACCAGTAGTGAGGATAGTCTACAATCAATTTAATGTTCCTTAAAACAGGGGTATTTAATTCCAGGCCTGGAGGGCCGGTATCCAGCATGTTTTAGTTTTAACTCTGTTCCAACACATCTGATTTCAATCAGCAGGTAATTAGCAGGCTTCTGCGGAGCCTGATGAGCTGCTGCACAGGTGATTCAACCACTGTGTTGGAGCAGAGAAACCATTAAAACGTGCTGGGTACAGGCCCTCCAGGCCTGGAATTAATTACCCCTGCTTTAAAGGAATACAGGCAGTTTTGCTTGCTTTTAGCATCCCCTAGTGTCCGTTATTACTTAAATGTGGTTAAACTGAAAACGAAACTCATCTCCTCGCTGTGCGTTTGTCTTTTTAACAAAGTGCTGGTAGCAGACTGCTGCGCCAGGCACCTCAGCTCAATTATTCAACACACCTGACCGGCACTCTGAATTTGCAAGTGTGATATTTTGGCCACAGGGGGCGTTGGTTTTTTTTAGTGACATTTCATTAACTCTGTAAAGTGTCATTTTAGCACATACTGAAAAGGATTTAAAAATATGAAAAAGTAGCATAGTGTCCCTTTAACTCAATTTTAACATCCCTTCTTGCCTTCAAGCTGTAGGAACACTAAAGAAACGGGTTTTTCAGGATGACGTAAGCCCCAGTTGGGAGACATGTAGAGTTTTGTTGACTCAGCTGCATGTAAGTTAAAATGACCTTGGGACTGGATCAAGTGGTGGTAAGGAATGTGTTTCTCCCTCGTTTCAGTGGGGATTTGTTTCCACGTTTCTGCAAGTGATCGAGTCATTGTTCACTTGTGAACTGCTCTCTCTGTGTCCAGTTACAGCATGAGTTACAGTGAATATCCGCCATTGTTTGCTGTGACCAGTGTGTTCCAAATGACCCACTGTGCCCAAGATTTTCCTGCAACCAACTAAATCCCACAAGCTTAGATTCTGTTTTTAGCCTGATTATTTCACATCACATGAGGCAGTACCCAAACGTCTCCTATTACCTTTATTATTTGAACAGTTTTTTTGTTCTTAAACAATCGGGTACCACTTTACAGGGCTTCCCTTGTAGTTGATATGTTATTATTAATTCATCTGTAAGAGACAAAACTTTCCAATTCCTTGACAAATAGTGAGACCAATTATAGCTCCTCTTTCATTAAATATTTAGATGGAGTTAGCTTTAGCATTATTAAGCTTATAATACCTCATTATCATTGCCTTATAAATAACAAAACATGACACTATTCATTACTGATCAATAAACATTTATAACAGTAGGACAGAGCTTTACAATAAACACAGAGTGGCACAAATTGTGATCTAGCATATCTCAATTTAAACAAGTCTTGTAACTTTAATTAAAACTATATGCTACCCTTTCACAATAAAGTTCCCTTTACTAATCGTGGATATTTTTCATGCACCTAAAATACAATATTACTAGCTGAAAATGCTGAAAAGTAGTAACTCGGTCTGAAATGTTTAGTATAGCAACTATAGATGAAATATGTGGGTGAACAGATTTGGCTCACTATTTGTCAATGAACAGGTTAATTTTTTTCCTCTTTCTTGCCCTTAATTAATGCATTGTAAACATTTTAAAAACTGTTACAGATTAATTAATAACACATCTATAAACTTTTTAGTAGCCATTTACAAGGGAAGCCCTAAAGTGGTGCAAAATCCATTTTGACATCCAAATGGGAAGTCATTTGCAGGCCCAGTTGTGAAGCAGGCTGAGTTTCTTCTTGAATCCTTATTTCAAGGCTTTTAAAAAGTTCTACTCCGTCCTGAGAAAGTGTCTGCTAAACAGGCTCTGTCAAGCTGTGGTGGCTTGTTCTAAATATCAAGTAAGCTGTTTGTGTTCAGAGCTATAATTAGGGAACTGAAGATTTCACCACAAAATCATAAACATAATTTGTCAAATAAAGGAATATTCCACCCCGTTTAGTGTTTTGCACTTACCAATGATTATTTCTGATTGTAATAAGTCACAGAGTTTTTCATGCTCATTGAACGTGAATATAGTCTCCTGCATTAGCTTCCGATAGAAAACAGACAGTGAAACTCTAGGATTTGAAAAGCCTGACAGATCTACGTCACACTGTCACTTAACATTCATTGACTCACCCATCTTGTCTCACAACAGGGAAGGCTGTTGTTGTTTAGTGTCCAGGAAACAGCAGAGAACGTCTCGGCTAGTAGAAACTAACTGTTATCATTAGCAACTCCACCACACAGCAGAACTCCTCCAGGCTTGTGTTGTTTGTGGAGATGAAACATCATTGTTGCAAATCAGTGGTAGATTCACGTTGCTGTTATCCAATCAGAGGTGAGATGTCCAGATGTGGGGAAACAAGATTCCAAATTCTGCCCTCCTGTGCCACTCTCTGCTGCAGCAGACTTGTCTGTGCAACACATTCTCACACCCAAAGCATCAATATATGACGCGTGTGACCAAGCGTCAATATATGATGATTCGGGATGCCCCAGCGCGTCAGGAGACGACAATCAGGGACACACTGATGACGCAACGTCCCAGAGCGTCGGTTTCCGACGCTGGTGGTGAGATGGACATTAGAACAACTTGTGAACTACTTAACCTTCCCCTCACCCCAATCCTAACCTTAAGGTCACAGTTACTGACCTTAAGGTTAGGATTGGGGTGAGGGGAAGGTTAAATAGTCGAATAATGTCCGTGTGACCGCGGGTGTCAAACACTGACGCCAGCGGAGCCACGTGTCCCTGCGTGTCGCTGATTGTCGTCTCCTGATGCGCTGGGGCATCCCGAATCATCATATATTGACGCTTGGTCACACGCGTCATATTTTGACACTTTGGGTGTGAGAATGTGTTGGATCTGTGCTAATCAACGTGAGTCTGGGCTTCTTTTTTTTTTGGACCTGAGTGCTGCTTGCAAGGCATTCATTCCTACCAGAGACCACTGCAAATGTATTGATTAAAAAAGTTACCCACACCTATAAGTAATTTTCATGACTTACACGATATAGCTGTTATTATTCACATAGTTTATGCTACGCTAAAGCTAACAGAATACTGCCAGATTAGGAGAATGACTGGACTGGTTACAACATGCTTTTCCCCTCTTATCTAGCTCGTGGGAATATGGCAACAGACTACATTTCACAGAGTTGGAAAATTCCTTTAAAATATTAGATATTTTGTCAGTAAGTGTTCTTTTATTTTGAAATTGGATATTTTGTCCACATTTTCAGTGTTTGTATGTCAAAATAAATCATGCGGGCACCCATTTGCAATCCTACAATGTAGAGAAAAAAACAGACGCAATCACGACCTTCCAATCTCAGCCCCATTTTTATAACAATTCTGTCTTATCAGCAGAAAAAAAGAAACAGGCTTGGTTCCCTTTTGGTAATTCACACATGCCAGTCAGAGGCAGCTCAGCATCGTGTCAGCCTATGCTTACACACTCACACAACTCTATTTTCATACAAACTCGGAGGCGTTTGATCAACTTCCGCCCCCTCATTTCACCTCGATGATTTCATGCATGAGGCTGGTGCAGAAAAAAAGCCTTTTGGAGCAGAATTTATACTTATTTCTGTATATCTTTTGTATTTATTTGTTTAAATACAAATATCAACAATTATTGTCCTTTTCTTTCTGTCCAATAATATGCTGCTAATTAATCCTGCACAGTCAGACTAAGAAAACTCAAAAATGCATCTTATTTGTGAAATACTATAAGCCAGAAAGCCTGTGCGATGACATAAATACTGAGTGAGCTGTTCCTCTGTGCCTTAGGCTACTGCTCAACTGTAGCATGTGAAAGTCCTTGTATGTGTAACTGATGAGCTGAAAATTTTTACTGTTTTATGAGGGATGTAACTGACAAAAGGCATTCCAATCAAATGTAAACGTGGTCGACAGGAATGTTTTCATCCTTGCAGGACCCCTACTCTCCAGTTACATTATAGCAATGCCTTCCAGAAGGTGTCTTGAAGTGACAATGCACCAGCAGGAACTATGATTCGTTATTTTTTTAAAAGTAGGCTTTTTCCTACAAAAATGTAGTGTTACACAAAGTTTGTACCTCAGAGATCCCTCCTGCAGAGTTAGCAGACATTTTAATTGACATTTTGATACGTGCAAACATTTTAAATCTGCAGCACCTGACTGCAGCCACAACCAGTATAGATCCAATGCAACTTTTCTTTTCTGCCTGACAATAAATTAAAAATACATATAAGGGAGGAAATGATGCCAGTTTGAAGCATCACAGAGTACTGATCGTGTTGTCTTTGCAGACTCCGAGGACCTACTGTGCAGCCAACACAGAGGATCTTGAGACTGTTATTGAGCACATCCTGAAAACCCATAAATCTTCTCCAATCATGGCTGCCGGTGTGTCCATGGGAGGGTATGCACACGCTCAGTAACCGCAGACAATAATTACAATATTTCTGCAATATGCATGCAGCAAAACATGAAACAGACAAATCAGTGCTTTCATTTTGTGTCAGTGCTCCATCACTATAGGAACACTTTTTTTTCCATTGCACAACTCTAATCCCCTGAATAGAGGTTGGTCTGAAATAAAATCTCTATTTTTTTAAATCTCTCACTCTCTCCATATTCAGGATGATGTTAGCCAACTACTTGGGGCGTAAGGGCCAGGAAACCTGTCTGAAAGGGGTCATAGTCTTCTCAGCAGGCTGGGATGTATTCGAGTGCTCTGCTTCACTAGAAAAACCCCTGGACCGTTTCCTCTTCAACTCCTACCTCACCAGCTGCCTCCAAGCCTCCGTGCACAGGTCAGCCAGGGTCAGAGTGGGATTAGCACAGCCCTCGACGCGTCGCCTGAACAGAACACTGCTTTTCCATACGAATAGCTTTACCCCACACAACAATTCAGTAACAGTATCACTGGTATTCTGTCCTGCAGACACAGGCCGGTGCTCGAAAAGTGTTACGACATTGACCATGTCATGAAGGTAGGACGTATCTTCTTTTTTCTTTAATTGCTTTTTTTAGAATAATTGAATGATATTGTTCTATTGGGTCTCCACAGGCGAAGACCATCAGAGAGTTTGATGAGAGATTCACCTCCATAATGTTTGGTTATCCCACTAATGACGACTACTACCGAGATGCCAGTCCTGTCCACAAGCTGAAATCTGTACAGGTGCCAATGCTGTGTCTGAACGCTGCTGATGACGTATTCTCTCCGTCTCATGGTGAGTTGTCTCAGATAAAGCACAATTCCATTTCATCACGAGCAATTATTATTACATAAGTGATAATTATGATGGATTTTCTCTGGGTGAGGAAAGGATTTGGCTATGTTTGACATGAAAAACAAGACTACGAGCAAAGTTGCCTAATCTCATCAAATGCGAATAAGAGCTTGTTTTACTGTAAAGTCACAAGAGTTTGTATTTGTATGGTGTGGTATATTTAGGGCTTGTTTTCACCATGCAGCAGCACTATGGCTGTGTCTAATGGCAATATACCTCTCTCCTCATGACCCTCAGAACTTCCTGCAGGCCTGGGGGAAAATTCTGAGACACTGCAACTGGCTACAAGCAGTTTACTGTATGTTGTTTCAAATGGGGGATGGCTTGCTAAACATAAATAATCACGGTATATCAGAACTAATAACATTATGCAGTGATCTTCTCCTTAATGAGGCAAAAGCCAATGAAACACTTGCCCAGGAACCTAGACAAACCATAGCAGTTGCAAGATTTTGTTCGGCAGTTCGGTTCAGCCATGCTCCATTGTAGCCTCAGCAGGTCTACCACTGAACTGAACAGTTTTAGGTTGTTGCAATCACGGCGCTATGTGTTTGTAGAGACACATTGAGCCAGCTTAGCACCAGAGCTGCAATGGAGAAAAACTACAAAGATGGTGCAAATATGGGCTTTTCTTTGAGACATGAGGAGGATGTCTTCTTTTACTGCTTCTTTGATGGTGTATGTTCCGTCGCAATGAATATGTCACATTGTTTTTTGCTCGTGCAGAAACTATTTGGAAGACAATCGTAGATTCCAATCCAAAACTGTCACAAGGTGGTTTGGAGGAGTAGGACCCAATATGCAGACACCCAGAACGACATGAGGCAGGAGCGGATGTGAAAGAAAACATTCCTTTATTAGGATGACAAAAAGTAAATAAAATCCAAGCAGGAGCGAAAGCCAAAAAAATCCTAGAACCTGGAGACCTGGAAAAAACACGAAGGAGGGGGACAAAACAACGCTGACATGAACAATGGACCAACACAACATAGAGACGCAGACAGGGTTATATACAAAGAGGGGAGCAATCAGGGAAACAGGCAGCAGGTGCGTGGGGAGTGAGAGCTGAAGGGATCGGGAGAGACTAATTAACCAAATGGGAAAAGAACACATTGTTAAAGGAAAACGACTGGATAAGATAACTGTACAGAGAAACTAAAGATAAGAGAATTAATAAATCTGGAACTATAAAAACACTATAACCTCTGCTTGGGGAACTAAAGAGACAGGGACCAAAGAGAGGAGATTCTATGGGGAGACTAAACTAACTTGGGTGGGACAACTACGTATAAAGTGAGCAGGGAGAAACATAGGGAAAACCTGGAAGGGGCTGGGGGCCAAAAGGAGCACAGGACCTGGGGGGATACCTGGAGGGAGAACATGGAGGGGGCTGCAGACAAGGAGACACACGAGGAACTAGGGGTTGCATGACTTAATTTTTTTTAAAAGTCGACAGTCAAGTAATGAAAATCGAGTCGACTTCAACTAGTCATTGATGACATCATTCACCTGAAGTGGCGGGGGGGGGGGGGGGGGGGGGGATGTGTCAGTAGGTTCGCTGGAGTTTTTGACAATAAAAATTGCGCCCACATTTTCTAAGTTAACACATCTCTTTAAACAACGGTACTTTCTGCATCCTACTTCAGCCATCTCCCCCCTCCCCCTGCGCAGCAGCCGCAAACTCACTGATGCGCCTGCAGCCTCTCAGAGTTCCTGCTGCTCTAAACATTAAAATAATTATTTCATTTTCTGTTCCTCACTTCTGATTACCTTCAATGGTGTTTGTTTGTTGCAACCAGCAGGTACAAAAACAAACTTGTTTTTATTTGACTATTTTTCTGTCCTGCCTGTTTATTATCTTCCTGCATCTCCTCTCAATCCTAAAGAAAAACTGCTACCTGGGTTCATTTATATTCACCTTATGAGTTACCTTTGAACTGCAGTTCTAAAAGATCTACCGACCGCAAAAACAGAGGAGTGCCGCTGCTCGCCGGCCGACTACAACGGGACCGTTTTTGCGGCGGAGTTCGTGCCGGAGCGGAGATAGTGGAATTTTGGGGGTGCGTCACCGGAGGACAAAACAGGTGATGCGCCTCGCTCCGCAGCAGTGAAACGCATCAGGCGCAAATAACAGACAGAAAACATTAAAGGAAATGAGCCGACACGAACGATCGCGTGTTAAATTTGTTTTTGAGGTGGTGACACCTGATTTGGCGGTTCTCAGGACGCAGATGTCTGGAGCGCGTCAACGATCAGATCTTTGCATGTGCAAACTGGTTAAGATTAGGATAGGGGTGAGGGGAAGGTTAAATTGCAAGAAGGAAAAGGTCACAGTTTGGTTAAATGTCCGTTTTACCGCCGGTGTCAGTACCGACGCTCTGGCACAGCGCGTCGCCTCCGCCTCCCGACGCGCAGGAGCTCATCACCTGCTGTCTTTTCCGAGGACTGCATCTTGTCAGTTATTATCACGTGACAGCGACTAGTCGATGACAGGCATAAAAAGTCACTACAGAACCGTGAAGTCGACTAGTCGACTAGTTCATACAACCCCTATGAGGAACACAAGGAGAAACGTAAGGGGATCCTAGAAGGGGGGTGGAGAACACCAGAAGACACATGAGGGAGACGCAGGACGCCGACCATGACAAAAACTGAACTATGTCTATATAGCTTGTGGCCAGGCTATATATTTTACATATGTAGGATGGCTTGACAGGCTAAAGAGGCAGTTGCAAACTTCAAATTTTCTCAAAACATTGCAAGGGTCATCACTTTCCTTATATGAGTTGCTCTTGTTTGAATAGAATTTTGAGAAAGTTCATGAGACAAATTTCCTTGCAAAATAGTCTCAAGAGTCTCCTTGTGTATCTGTAGCCCATCTGAATTTAACTACTTAAAGCTACAATAGCAAATCTACACAACAAGCTAGCTTTTAAACGCAAACACTGTGATGGAACTCTCATCCTCCCATCAGGTATCACGCCTGGGCCATGTCCATATTGCCAGAGGAAACGAGAGAGTGCTAAACACCAGTTGCTGTTGTCCATGACTTCAAAAGATTATTTTTTCTTTTGGGGACTCTGGACGCTTGTCCTAAGTTTAAAGTGGTAGCAGCCGACTGTTTCTCCTTTGATATAAATGAGCAGAGAACCTCTCACACCAGTGGTGTTCTGTTGAAGATGTGCAAGTGTGTTACGACCCATAGTTGGTTTTATTAGTGTTGTGGTAATGGGGTGAGTGTTGGCCATTGACCTGGCAGTCATTTTAGCAACACTCCGTGGTGCTTGGGGGCATGCTACAGCAGTGGGCCACCCCTCAGCTCCGCTGGTTTAGTGTTTAATTTTCCCAACCTAAAAATTCCACATGAAAACGAGGAGGTTAGTTAGATCTCCTTTAATTAGTTAGAGGGGATTCTTGTAAAATAGAAAAACTTGGAGATAAACAAAACCTGTAACAATTTCGGCAAAGACGAAGGCAGTTGGAAAGAAAAAATTGTGCGATGGGACTTGTTTTAATTTTTTCTTTCTTTTAAGGGAGGGAGCGTTACAGCAGTGCCTTTTTTGTAATGAGTTGAGGACCCAGGTAAATGCGGGATTGCAGTGGTTTGGTGTGACCTGCACCCGGATAGTCCAGTGATTGGTTTGTAGGTTCGAGCCAATTTATTGGCTGAGGATTTTAGGCAAATGCTCTTTCTTTATCTCTGCAATATATTTATAGCTATACTATGTCAGAATGTTGTTAACTCATTCACAGCCAGCTGTTTCCTGATTGGTAAAGCCCTTCGCTGCCAGCGGTTTTCACCATTTTTACTGTTTTTTTAAGACTCACAGAATGTTGCACGTTAGGATGATGTCAACGTCAAAACAACCAAAACAAAGCGGAGACTCGCCTCTTATATCAGGAAGAATCCGCACGTTTCGAGCGTTATCCGTTCTGTCAGATTCCGTTGTCGAATTGTGATCGGCAGAAGCTTTTCTGGTTCATGCCTCACTTTTTTTACAGCAGCGGCGCAAAATGATCTCCTAACACATGGATTTTCTGCTTCCTGATCACGTGACCTGTGACGTACGTGGATGAAGATCAGCTTTGGAGCTGGGACGTTTGTTCACACGATGCGGGGGCTCGTTCCGACGCCCACACAGTAAAAAAATGCAAATAACGAATTTAGTCGTCATTGGCAGTGAACGGTTGGATTTAAAATGACGACTTTTCTCGTTAATGCGTTAAGAAGTATGAAAGAAGCTACTTTAAGCTTTGCAGATTTGCTATTGTGGCTTTAAGTCAGAAGGAGTTTGAAACCAATGAGGAAGACACTTTTATTGAGTGGCATAAAAATTTGCACATTTCTGCTAGTGTTGTAATTTGTTCACAATTATGTCGTAAGCTTCAGATGACTCAGCCATGATCTGTCATAAAAACAGTAGCCATCCTGTGACCGTGTCAGTGTGCAGAAACATGGATGCAGTGTGTGAATGTTAAAATGCACCCCAGAGAAGAAAACAGGAATTCTTATTCTTATTGCAGCTATTCCAGTGGAAGCAGTGAAGCAGAATCCACACCTGGCCTTGCTTATTACCTGTCACGGTGGCCATATTGGTTTCCTGGAGGGCCTGTGGCCACGACAGAGCACTTACATGGACCGAGTCTTCAAGCAGTACGCAAAAGCAGTCATTGAACAAGGCGGTGGACTCAAAGACCTCTCTTGATGAGAGAAAATCACAAAGTGTTCCTCTGATTTCACATCCTCTTTCTGTGTCTTGCCCTTTATTCTACCATTCTTGTATTCCATCTTTCTGGGCCACATTCCGTCCACTATTTGTGTTTCCGTTCCAGTTTTTCATTCCTTCCTACTATTGTCTCATTCACTTTTCTTTGCTCAGTGCAGGTACTTTCTTTTTTTATTGCCTCTCTCACTAACATGGCTGCTCATGCCATTGCTAAATAGTTGAATGTGCACCATGTGGTTTTGTTAGCAGAAGAATTCAGCAATCTGTGCAATCATATTTTTATTCAAAAGAAGTACTGTAAATGAAGACCCAACCACTCTTTCTCCAAGTACCCTGTAGTTTTAGCACGTAACAAGTAGGATTTTAGCCCTCAGGGAGTCACTGATTATTGTTCTCTGTCCTTCCTGTTTTATCCTGATAGTTGCTCTCCTTGAGTTAGACTTTTCTGCAGTCATTTACCTGCTTATGTGTGTTTTTATTTTTGTTTTTTGTTTATAATTTAGCATGTGAATTGCACTTGTGTGCTTTCTTTCAGAGAGTTAACAGAAGTCTGTTCCTATGCACTGAGTATAAAACTTCTGGAAACAGAAGGAAGCAGGTTGTCTACCTGTGAAACTCTAAATTCAAACATGTTTTTTAAACATAAGGACTCCTCATCAGACTTACCATGGTCAGATTAGTAGCATACTTTCAGGACGCATGCAGATGACCCTGGACATTTTTCCGGTATTCATCTTTTTCATTTTCTTTTTTCTTGACTCTTTGACATCCCCTTGAATGGAGATAGTTCCCTGAATACTTTAACTGTCACTCTAGAGCAGTGGTTCCCAACATGGGGTCTGTGATCCAGTAAGGGGGGGCCCACAAGTTAGCAGGGGGTTTCCACTGTTTTATCTGTGCTGAGATTGTGAGGTTAGGTTGTATTTGTAAAAAGTACAGTTATAAAATCCTAACACACCCAATAATAATGAAAACTCTGTGAGTTATAACTCTGTATGACTGTAAAAAGTTTGTAATTAATCACTTATAATTGTGTGCATGCAGTTAAGAGTTGGCGTTGGGGGGCCCTGGCTTGTCTTAGACAGGAAAGGGGGTGCTTGTGAAAAAAGGTTGGGAACCACTGCTCTAGAGAGAGCACTAAAATAATATTGCATAAAAAGCTTAACCTTTAGATTCTCAATGGTTTTGATAGATGAACCCATGAACATTATTTATTAAGGTCCCAAAATAATCTTGTTTATTTAAATGGTGTAAGTAATAAATATTATTACATTTAAAATGATCCCTGGGTTTTTGGCTGAGGATGCATGCCTAAAAATGCAGGACAATTGGCTGTAGCTTCATATTTAAAGGTGTGGTTCACAGAAAATCTGTTGTTTAACGATTTTTCTGATTATAATCAGTAACTCTGAAATTTTAATGCAGGCTGAACATGAAAGTAGCTTTCTACACCTATCTCCTGCATTAAGTTGTGAAAGAAAATAGACGGTGAAACTCTAGGCGTAAAAAATCCTGACAGATCTACGTCATACTGTCACTTAATATTCATGGACTCAACCATCTTAACGCACAATGGGGGAAGCTGTTGTTGTTTTAACGTCCAGGAAACAGCAGAGAATTTCCAGACTAGTAAAAGCTTACCGTTAGCATTAGCAACTTCACCCCACGGCAGAAGCTCCTCCAGGCTTGTGTTTTTTATGGAGATAAAACATCCACGTTGCGAGTCAGTAGTAGGTATCCCCCCCCCCCCCCCCCCCCCCAACACACACACACACACACACACACACACACACACGTGACCACTCTACTAGAGACACTATTGATTATACGGGTGAACCACACCTTTAAAAAGGAAGCAGAGTGATGACAATCTGAACCAACTCCCTGGAAGAAAGCAAATATGAGTTTGTTTGTTTGTTTGTTTGTTTGCTATCAGCATTCTGCATACACTTTTATTTTCACGTGTTTTACCTTCCTAGACACCAATAGTTTTACAAAAGGATAATGTGGATAGTTTTTTTGTCATTGACAAGGAATGTAAAATAAAGCACTTTTTGAGTTGATACTATCAAGCCTCTAATCCCTTAAGCAAGGCACTAACTTGATTAGAGCTATGAAAGAATGATCTAAACGCTGCTTTATTGAACAGTTTGTACATTTCTTTATGAAAACAAAGGACGTGCTGTACATCTGGAAGTGCACACTGGCCGTCTGAAGGTGCGTGTGCACTTAAAAAGATGCTCCTATTGTTACTGAAAGCTGATTTCCAGTCATTTCTGCCAACAATGATACAGGGGCTGGCTACCGTAATTGAGTTGGCATGATAAAATCAAATCGATTTGACTGGCATCAAGAGTTTCAGTTAAAAAAAATAAACTGCATGAGAATTATTTGACTTCCTGTTTCTGTGAAGATCTTTGTGTCCTTTTGTTCTGCAAAGTTTACATGATTTAACGCATTTCTCATTGTCATCGTGTACTGAACCTTAACATGACTTTGTAATCTGTAGCACAAAGGGCATGTTTGTTATTTTATCTCATGTTATGCTGCATTTTCATTTTTCTTACACCTCATAAGAACATTCAGTTTCACTTGTGCAGCAATAAGACATTAAAATATAAGAAGCATCCACAGTACTAGTATGTTGACATCATCATCATGAGTGTAATACACTGTATTAAATTATTAAATAAAGTTTAAGGCAATTTGTGGTTTGTTTTGGGTGTTTTATCTCCTATGCAGCATTTTTAAATTTTCTCATGTATATATGATATTAAATGAGGGTTTAAGCTGCCTTTCGCTTGTTTTCGAGGTAAATTGTCTTGAATTTCCACAAAAGAACAGCATTAAAACTATCAGTGATATTTTTAGATCTACTAAAAATATTTATACATAATTTTCTGCAAAAATAAACTCTCCACATTTTTCTTGGTATTCCCCCCAAAATGGTGGAAAATCTCATATTGAAACTTACACCTAAGGGGAATTAATTATTCCTGGCTTTAATCTCAGAAATTAGGTCGGAATAATGAATTTAATCTCAAGTTCTGAGGAAAAGGAAGCCCCTGTCCTCTTGTGTGCATATTCGTCAAAAGATCCTGTAAAATAGCAATTCTAAAAATGTTGTATTTAAATGGACTGAATGGACAAAATGATTTTGGACTGTGAAGGCTGCAGAGCTTGCTCTAGACCATCTTTAAACAGTTTGGATTTGGTTTCTTCTTCCTCTCTTGCATCAACCTCACAGCTAAACACAGATGACTTAGTAAAAAAGCTGACAAACTACATGTCATAATTTGAGGTGAAGGTCCAAATGCAGTGAGAACTAAAGATATTGGAGGCAACCAAGGAAGGTAAAGGTGTGTTTATGTTTTATATTTATATTTTTAAAAAAGGCCTATTTACAAGTGAGGAACCAACAGACAAGCGCACTGAGGTCAGCATAAATAGACAGGTAGTGAATGCAAAGACAATGGAGCAGGTGAGATGATTGCTAATGACAAGGACCTACAGGTGTGACAATTAAGGAGTGGGAGGCAAAATTAGACTAGACAAAAGGAGAAGAACTAAGGAGGAGCTAAATGAGGATAACATAATCTAAATGCAATGGGAATAAGTGAATTTCAAACAATAGAAACTAAACTGGGCACAAAGAACAACAGGAGCAGAGAGCAACGGCAGGAACACATGGATGTAGGGCTAATCTAGAAAAAATGATAACTATACGGTAAAAGGTAAAAGACACAAAAGGAAGCTAAGCAAACGGGGATCTGTCAACACAAAAGCTACACAAAAATAAGCAAGGGAAAACTAATGAGAAATAAAAACGAAAAATAAAACTGAGAGATTGGGGACTGGGACTGGCTGGGCAGATACAGTAACTGGGAGGTGAGTGTGAACAGGGAGGGACACGAATCACAGGGTCACCTGGGAGAGGGGAGAAAGCATACAAGGGTCTCCCTTTGGTTGGCAGGCCCATCATTTGAGCTGGCTTAATACTCACTGGAGGGTTGCACACTGACTCAAGCCAAAGTCTCAGAAATGATGGATGCTGTCTACAAAAAGCTAACTGTTGAGGATTGATGCATCTATTTTTTTAACAAATGAACTGATAACAGAACGCACAGACTAGTGTTAACCTTTACCAAGGGTTAACAGGTATTTAAGAAAGTTAGAGCATAATCACAAACTAACCATAAGGATTACATGCAAGTAAAATCATTACTCAACTTTAATGTTTCTTGTTAGCAGACTTCCAAATGTACATAATTGTACTGTATTCATTTTCCAAGTCTAAGGCCTTGGGCCTCAAGCAGGGTTCAAGTTGGTGTCCCAAGTGATGTCATAATAGAGCAAGAGATAGACCTGCGGATGGGAGACTCGTGTGGAATAATGAGCACATTGTTCCTTTTTGTTCGAACAAAGCACCTAAAGACCTAAAAAAGCAAGATCCCAGTTGAAATGAGCTTCCTCTGTATGATGGCAGGTCTCAGCCTTAGAGATCAGGTAAGGAGCTCTGTCATCAGGGGTAGACTCAGAATAGAGCTGCTGTTCCTGCTCATCAAAATGAGTCAGATGAGACGGCATCTTATTCAAGTGGCCTCCTGGTTCCAGTGGTTTTCCAGGCTCGTCTCACATTGGGAAGAGAGCTCGGTGCAGATCCAGAACTGATTGGAGGGATTATTATGTATATCCTGGGATCCCCTAGGAGGATCTGGATATGCCTGGACTTCCCTCCAGGTTATTTTGTGTTTGTAAGTAGGAAATTAAAGATAACACTTTACAATAAGGGTCCTGTTAATAACTTCATTTAGTGGATTATTAAGCTTTAATAAACTATTTAATGAAGTACAACAACTGCTTAACAATATTATGTTATCCATTATTAAGCAGACACCCCTCGGCCCTTTGTTCTAACCTTAAGGACACTTAATATTTAACAATACAGGGAATGCTAATAAAGGCCCCTTTTGTTTATTAATGCTTAATAATGCACTAAGTAACACTAATAAAGGGTCCCTTACTGTAAAGTGTTCCCAAATCCTCCTCCAAATCTAGTTGTTTAATCGGGAACGTTTCTGCAAAAATCCCTGTAACTAGCCACGGCACGGAAACAAAAACAAAGAATTTAGAACTAATTTTTATTACATTCATACATTTCAACAACAATAACAGGACTTGACTGTTATATTTTTCACAGCCAGCAATCACAATGGTAAACATGAGGTAGATTAACCAGGGCACCAAGGCTACCAGTGAGCTGCACAAACACATGAAACACCTATTAGTGAAGATTGTGAGAGCAAGTTGCATATTAAGAATTTGATTTAAAGAAAGAAAAAACACATTCGATGGACCAATAGAGAATGATACCTGTCTTACATTTGGACCAATTTGTTTCACTTATAATAATCCACTTGAATAGTGCAAGTTTATATTTCCTACCCCCAAGGACATTCAATCATCCGGTTGGATTCCTGTGCAAACACTAACGTGGGTATCACACTTCAAAAGGATTATTTTTCTAAAATGCTTGTCAAATAAATTAAAAAATCCTATATGGACCTTTTTTTTTTTTCAATAAAATCTAACAATATATCTAGGTAATTTATTTTTGCCTCCGTAGCATAAAATGGAGACGGACACAACCAAAAACTAACTATTTTAACCATCAGAGGGTGGGGGTGGGTGGGGATGATAAAATATATTAATAATGTAAACAAAGCTTTAAACAGCACAGCAGTCCAAAAGCCAATAATTTCATCCAGCATCAGTCAGACAAAGTCCAAGTCTTGGCCTCACAATCATTCTCCATTCTCATTGGTCGTTGGAACAGGTTACTTGTGTTTAACATCATTTAAGGCATATTCTTTGGACAACCCTGTGGAGAAACATAACAAAAACGTTCAAGTATGTCACTGGCTTGACAAGCTGCTTTTGTGTCACCTTCTTGAGTACCATTTCTTTCAGTGTAGGGTGTGTGTTTGTTGGGTGGTGGTGGTGGGTGTACACAAATGGCAGCTGAGATAGACAAAACAGTCAGCCGCATGAAAAGACAACGGGATCTGTTGTCCCAAGTGAGATGATTGGCAGTGAGGAAGCTTGATTGTGACATTTTGCACAGCAGTCAAGTCAGCAAAATGTCAAAAATGTCAAACGTTTGTTTTACAATTTGAGTTCACAATTCAATTCTAATTAAATTCAAAAATACTTTATTAATCCCAGAGGGAAATTAGAGCAGCTGTGATTGGTGTTAACACCTGATTCCTGCATCTAAGTCGGGGTTGTATTGCCTGGGTTTCAGTTCAAGTCACAAAACAACAATAAAGCCTTACATTCTCTAAAAGCCACAACTCGTAAACTTCCTCAAGTTGTGAAATTTCAGTCATTTGGAAACGAAAACCTACCCCGACACAGCTTCCTGTCATAAAAGATTATCGATGCCACAAATATTTTAGAGGCACAATAGAAATGTTTAAATGTGCTAGATTAAATATTTACTTATGGTTCAACATATATTGATATAAAGAGTAGAATTTGTTCATTTTATTGATGAAATGCCGTAAAACGCTAAACTCTGTGTTTATATAATGGTTTCGTGGAGTTTCAGAGGCAGAGCTGAAAGCAAAAGGAGAAAAGGTGCAGCTGAGTCTTTGGTGCCGACATAAGTTAATGCTAAATACATACTGTTAGGAGGGAGGAACAGCCTAACGCCTGTAAGTCACTTTCCTTCCATCTCCCTTTATTAGAAACCCTGAGATAAATGTGAATGTCCAGGAATGGACACACTGGAATCAAAGTTCGTGGAGACACACACACACAATCCTCCGAAGGTCCTGCTACAGATCAGAGGGTGTCCACTTTAGCAAAATATGACGACTAAATTGTACATTTTAAGTTCAGTTGTACTCCTCCCCACAGCAGTCTTTTTTAAGGGGGGTAGTTAAGTTTGTAGTCAGGCTTGGTGCGCTGCTGTAGGAGTACGGCTCTAGGAACAGCCGCCTGCCTTAACAGAATTGTTGCTGCTGGCTGGTTTAAATCTACTCTTGAATCTCCAACAGAACTCTTTTCAAACATGGCGGCCAGTCAAAAAGTACAGGGGCCGATCCTCGCTGCAGTTGGCTGTCTGAAACTCGTCCCGAAGGCGGAACTGCCACTCGTCCTCCAGCTCCAGTCGGACGATGGTCTGACGCAGGGAACTTCGGTCCTGACAGATCACGCAGAGGGTGGCGCCTGGCAGCAGAATCAAGTAAAAAACTCATTTTTCCAACTATTCTGAAAAAGAAACATAAAACCTCTGAGGTATACACATATATCACCTTTCAGAAAGCGGAACCTCTTGAGGAGTCCAGAGACAACGAAGGAGTCACAGAGATAAAGCAGGAGGCCACTGAACACCAAACCCTGATGGTTAAGATTGGTGGAGTGTGGACGAGAGTTGATGTAGCACACGGTGATCTGGGAAAAGAAAAAGGGACACGGCATGATTACTACTAAAGCAAAATAAAGGAAACGTTAAATATTAAAGAGCCAATCACTTTTGTACGTTCATTCTGTTTATCTTTGTTATCCATTTTTGTTCTTTCTTTCTTTTTCTTTTTTTTAGAAAAAAAAAGATTTTTTTTACTAAAACTGTGTAAGAAAATAAAAAAGAGGAAAATAAAAGAGACAATGTGTAGCTTTTACCAATAAACTCTGGAAATATCCGTTAAAATGTTGTTGAAAAATATTGGCAGCTTTGTAACAAATAACCATGCAAATTGGGTCTAAAATACATGGGAGCAGGTCTAAGTCTCTGGGTGTTTTCTTCTACGGGAGCCCGTGAGGACAAAACGCCTTTATTGATTCGTAAGAAATGGTTATAAAACATTCGCCGTTGTTGTTTTAGACATTTACCTCTTCACTCGTTGCGATGAAAGGGATTCTGGTGTGATTGTCATTTTTCTGGAGGTTGCTCTCCCAGGATTTTTTACCCTAATGGCCATCCGTTGGTAAGGTCTTACTCCAACACAAAAATACCGCTTGCACACAATGATTTAGGTATGTACTGCCTAATTCACTCTGACCAAGTACATTTGAATGTTGACTGGAAAAATAAAAATCAACAAAAACAAAATTATCTACATATGCTAAAATTGCTGAGGTTTTATAAGGACGCAAATATGATGTCATATGCAAACATACTGAGTTTGACTAGTTAGCATTCGCTGCACATGTGCACATAAACAGGTCAGGATGTTCTTGGCAGAACAGAGAAAGTACTGTAACATGCCTCTGAGTGCTTTAAAGGTTTCCAATTATTTGTTACTAAATAAGTTTAAAGTTCGCATGAAAATAGGAGATTCTATCTAAAAATGTTCCATATGATGCTTCCTTCCTGTTTGACTGAAAGGACAAGTGCAGCCTCCTGGGAGGTCTTACCTCTGGGCTGAGGTTGAGGTAGCTGTCGATGGACAGAACTGGGTTGTTTCTGTTCTGAACAGCTTTTGGAAACAGTCTGTGGCTGCAGTTCTGCAGGAAGCTTTCCAGCAGGAACTGTGCCGGCGCCTCTAATAGGGTCTGCTCGCTGTCTGGGGCGCAAACGTACTGCGAAGGGCTGATGGAAGCTTTGTTTTCTATCTCCTGTGGACAATGGGTGCAAAAGCAATGGTTTAAAAAAACTATTTCACAGTATCTGAGCGTATGAAGTGTGAATACACCCACCATGAGTTTAGGTTTGACCACAAAGTCTTTGTTTCCCCCGACTGGAATGTGTTTCTTCATCAGGAAGAAGTTGTTGAAGCGGCACAGGAGCAGCCCGCTGCTATTAACCCTCAGATTAAAATCCACCTCCTCACAGCCATACCTGCACCAAATCAAAACGTTAAATAGTGACAACGTTATGCTTATCATTGAATGACTGGCTGACATGTTTGTGTGCAAACCCACCGGTTAAGATCATACTGAACATTCTGGGTCAGGTCCACGTTGAGCATCACAAAGTCATGAAGATGACAACGGCTGAAGGGGCTGCTGGGAGACCTGCAAGGTAGGCTGCTGCTCCACTTACGGATGCCACACATGGCATACAGGGAGATCTTTGGCGTGTTCTCCATCTGCTGCAGCACCGACTTCAGTGACACATTGGAGAGACTAGAGCCTCCGTCTGACGTGTCACTAGAAAAAAAATTCAAAGGAGGAAATTGATTATTTAACATTTCTTGAAAAACTCTCTAAAAGCCCTGGATGGTCAATGGTCATTAAAATTATAATGTGTGAAAGTAAGTTATTTTTTACAAAAGAAGACCACAATAAAAACAAATGTTAGCCACTACGTTTGACCAGATTAGGAAACTAAAGAGATTTTTAAAGGATAGGTGCTATCTTTGTAGGAGATTATAGGTTTATTTTTATAGTTCCTTACCAGAAAAATTCACAAGCTGCCTTTCGAGCACAAAAAAGGAAACAATAAAAATTAAAGCTGCAAGCAGCGTCCTTCGGCCCTCGCAGCTCCGTGCCGCTCCGGCCTGGCCGGCAGCTCGGAGCACCCGGGCATGTCCACGGGACATTAAATTCGACCCCCATGATGCGCACGGTCTCCTCTTCTGCACTTCACCCTAACTCAGCATCTTCTCTGAGCCCACCATTAAATTACACATCTCACTCTAGGGGATACTCTATGTTTACCACACGGGTGGTGTGATGACACAGAACAAGTCTAATGCTATTCTAACCACGTATTTTGAAGTTATTGAAGGTTAAAGTTATTTAGGTGGCGCTGTGACCAACTACAGAAAAATCTCATTGAGGTCAGCTTTGGTTGACAAAGATGGTTTTCTGTTAATTTGCTATCAATCAGATGTTGTTTGTGTTATCTAGAGCCAGAGAGCTGAAAGGAGGTGGAGCGAATGGGATTTGAACCAACAACCACATCAATGTGTTTGTTGCAGTCACATGATGACACAAGCCAAGTTTAACGCCATTCTGACCTTGTATTAGGAAGTAATTAACTTTTAATCTTATCTAGGGGGCACTGTAACCAATTACATGAAAATCCCATTGAGGTCCTCTTTGGGAGTTAAAGATGGTTTCGTGGTAGTTTGGCATCAATCAGATGTTGTGTGTGCTTTCTAGAGCCAGAGAGCTGAAAGGGGGCAGAGCTAAAGGGATTTGAACCAACAGCCACATCAATGTGTTTGGTGCAGTCACGTGATGACACAAGCCAAGTATAATGCCATTCTGACCTTGTCTTTAGAAGTTAATAAAGTTTGAACCTATCTAGGGGGCTCTGTGACCATTTACAACTAAATCCCATAGAGGTCATCTTTGGTAATCAAAGATGGTTTTCTGTTAATACGGCATCAACCAAATGTCGCATGGGTCATCTAGAGCCAAAAGGCTGTAAGTGGGTGGAGTTAAAGTTATTTGAAAGAGTGAGCCCATACATGTGTTGATTGCAGTTGCGTGATGACTCCCACCATGTTTGATATAGTTTGGAGCTTTTTTGTAGAAGTTACAACGGTTTTATTGTATCTAGGGGGCACTGTCCCAAATTTAGGAAAATATCCCATGGAGCAGTTTGTAGGTTGACAACAATCATTTGCATGTAGTTTGGTGTGAATTATGCATGTGTTATTCAGGGCCTAATATCTGTCGGGGGGGGGGGGGAGATAAAGTAATATGAACCATTGACCACAGGAGTGTGTTGGGTGCCTTTGTGTGATGACATATAGCAAGTTTGGTGCAGTTGCGACCTCGTCTGTAGGAATTATTACAATTTTAAAGGTATGTAGGGGGAGCTGTGGTGATATTATACAACGTTCACCAACCGTTTGTGCCTCATTGGCTAAAGGGCGTGATTGTTGATTGCCATGTTCAGTCTCGTGCAGATCCGAGGCTGTTTGTGGAAGTTACAGTCAAACGTAAGGTCACGGCATCACGCCAGAATTCGCCATGGCCTCAAAGCCCCTCCCTTTCTGGAAAGCTATCAGAACTGAATGGTCATTACAACATCATGAAGACAGTGCATAACCTTAGTGTCATGTTGACTAAATCAGAGGGGACAATTATGGGCATTTCACCATAAAAAAAAGACATCCTGTTGTCAGGGGGCGTGGCTTTGGTGATGTCAGCTGTCCACATTGTCATTGTCTTGAGATGTGGTCAGTGATCACACAGACAAAGTTTGATATAGTTTGATTTAGATCTGATCATGCACATGGGAGTTATGACATCAAGTAATGTAATGGTAAAAGGTCAATGTTTGAGGCTTAGCCATGCCCACACCGTTCAACTTTAGCAAAATTTGACAGTTGAATTTTTTCCCCTATGTCTTAGGAGTACATAGCAGAAGTTTGAAAGCGATCGTTGAAAAGGGCGATGGGGAATCACTCTCCAAACAATGTGTGCAAAAACCACTAAATCGAGTACTTGGACCAAAATGGCCGACTTCCTGTGCGACATTGAGCTTAGCTCCAAGAGACTTTTGTGTAGGACCTGAGACACTGCATTAGTGTACCAATTTTCGTAATCATCAGACAAATCATCGCGTGGGGCTGACAGTTTTAATGGTTCTAGGGGGTGCTATTTCAGAAAATAGGCCATGCCCATCAACCTATTATGTTCATTTCAATTGGGGGTCACACTAGGATCACTCACCAGAAATTTCGTGGTGATACCATGATAACTGAGGAAATGAAAGGCAAAAGTATTTCCATGGTGTGATGGCAAATTTCGCCATGCCCACAAAGCCCTGCCAGCACTGGACACCAAGTGACTGGAACTAGTTTACTGCTATTTGCCAGAGATTGCTGGTGATTAGGTGAAAGGAGTCCAATAGGGAGCTGTAAAAATAAAGAGTGGTGTGGCGAGAGGTCAAAGTTTGAGGCTTAGCCACGCCCACACCTTTCAACTTTTGAAAAATCTGACGGTTGAATTTTTTCCTCTATGTCTTAAGAGTATATAGCAGAAGTTTGAAGGCGATCGGTGAAAAAGGCAACGGGGCATCATTCTCCACGTGTGTGAAAACCACTAATGTACCTCGAGTACTTGGACCAAAATAGCCGACTTCCTGTTCGACATTGAGCTTAGATCCAGAGACTTTTTTGTAGGTCCGGAGACAGTACATTAGTGTGCCAAATTTCGTAATCCTCTGTCAAAGCATGGCTTGGGGATAACAGTTTTAATTGTTCTAGGAGGCGCTATTTCAGAAAATAGGCTACGCCCACCAATTTCTGACATGAAGTTATATTGGGGGTCAGACTAGAATTACTCACCAGAAATTTCGTGGCGATATCATGAGAACTGTGGAAATGAGAGGCAAACGTATTTCCATGACGTGATGGCGAATTTCGCCATGCTCCCAAAGCCCCACCTTTTTTCAAAACCTGTCCGTACTGGAGACCAAGTGACCTCAACTTATCTACTGTTATTTGCCAGAGATTGCTGGTGATTGGGTGAAAGGAGTCCAATAGGGAGCTGTGAAAAAAGAGTGGTGTGGCTGCAGGTCAAAGTTAGTGTACCAAATTTCCTAATCCTCAGTTAAAGCATGACTTGGGGCTGACAGTTTTAATGGTCTTAGGGGGTGCTATTTAAGAAAATAGGCCACGCCCACCGGATTTTCAAATCAGATTTTTTGGGGGGCCGGACTAGCATCACTCACCAGAGGTTTTGTGGCGATATCTTTAGAAATGACGAAATGGGAGGCAAACGTATAGCCACGGTGGTATGCCTGAATTCGCCGCGCCACCACAGCCTCGCCCTCTTTTAAAATCTCCCATATAGCTACACCAAGCAACCCCCACTTGTCTGGAGTTACCAGCTACAAATTTGTGGTGATTAAGTGAAATGGGGCGATTTGGGACCTATCACAGTAAAACTTGACCTTTTTGGTCCTGAGGGGGCGGGGCTTGTGTGATGATGAGTGTATGACGAATGACCACAGAAATTTTTGTAACTCTACTCTGTTCGGGTATGACTTCATAGCCATTTAGCCTAGTGAACTAGACCAAATTCTTGCTTTGCAAAGTTTGGTCTAGGGAACGCTCCACTGGAACCTCTGCAGCCCCTAACAGCATTCTGGCTGGCCAATCACAGCTCTCTAGAGGAGTTTCAAACACATAAAGAGCTGTGATTGGTCCATAATGGTGGGCCAATCTTAGTGCTCTATCTGCTTAGTGAACAAATCACAGAGCTTTATCCGCTTTGTGGGCCAATCAGGGCACTCTATATGCCTGGTGGGTGGGATGATGCAACAGAGTGAAACAAGATGGCGACAGCTCGTTTGAAATGGCTTTTACATCAATTATGGACTATTAGAACTTGGGCTTCATTAGAATTAGGAGCAGATAATGTATTTAAGTGCTTTTTTTTTTTTTTTTTTTAGAAAAAATGATGTGTTTGCTCCTTCAACTGTGGACCGCCTCATTTACCGATAGCTGTTGCGGTGAGTATGTCACATTCATTGTCCAGTAGCATGCAGAGATCATTTGAAAGACAACGGTAGAACCCGCAACCACAACCAAGAGCCGTCAATGGAGCGTTGCCAGACTAAATAATATATTTATTCAGTCTGGCTTGCCAGGCTAATAGCCATTTATATATTTTTAGCGAGTAGACGAACTTCGAGGCCTGGCCATGCCCACTCAGCATATACGAAAAGTCAGTTTTATTTTTTCTATTTGATTGCCCATCCCTTCTGAGCAATTTCCCACAACTTTCGAGACGATCGTGCGAAAAATGATTGAGTAAATCAAACAGATGCGGACCCTTGAAACGGCCAAAACAAGGTCAAAATCACCACATCAAACCAAAATGGCTGACTTCCTGTTTGATGTTGACCATAGTTGCAAGATGCTTTTCTGTGCGGACTGTTGAGTACTACAAGTGTACAAAATTTCATAACTTTACAACAAACTGAGGTTTATGGAGTTTTTTTTTCCACATTCTAGGGGGCGCTGTGGAGCTAGTTTTATTGCGATTTTTTTGGGACCTTTAAAATACAAAATTTTACACCACGCCTGACATGTGTGCAAAAATTCCTGAGTTTTCAGGTATGTTAAGGCCTCCAAAAAGCCAATTTACTTGGCGGAAGAAATATAAACGGAGCAGATACAATAGGCCTTCGCAGCTTCGCTGCTCAGGCCTAATGAAAATATATCAAAACAAAAAAGGTTTAAGAAAAAATTCCCATAGTTTTCACACACACTGGTGTGGTGAAAATGGTCTTCCACATTTCACCCAAGTGGGGAGCGGTGAGCTGCAGACACGGCCGCCCTCAGGAACTATTTGGCAATTTAACCTTCCAATCCAACCCCTTAAAGCTGAGTGTCAAACAGGGAGGCATTGGGTTCCATTTTTAACCTCCTAGGGCCTTGCATCCGCATACGTGGAAATTGGCTCCTTGCACTTTAAAATGTTATTCTCTTCTACTTAGACCTTTTTGTTATTATTTATAGACACTTTATTTGACTTTAATTCAAAATTATTTTGTTTTCTTTCTTTTTAGGATATTTGACATTTTTATGTAATAAATTTTTATTCAATTTTTGTAACTTTGTTTCTGTTAATTTCAGTCGACTAATCTGTAATAGCTAGAAATGTTTTTTGTTTTAAATCAAACCAAAAATAAGTTTGGGTCCCAGGAGGTTAAAGTCTTTGGTATGACACGACAGGGACTTGATCTCCCAGTCCCAGGGCGGAGACTCTACCACTAGGCCTCTGAGCTGGTAAAATAAGGAAGACCACAATATACAGCAATGGTAGAAACACAGTTAATAAAAGAAGCTAATGCATGGGTGGTGGATTAATAGTTCACAAAAACATCTGGGGGACTTATCTGTACTAATTTACTAATAAAAATCCTTGTTTATCTTTTTAGTGCTCTTCATTTTTTTCCCCACGTCCTCCGGCTGTAAAGCATTCAGAATTAATGTCTGAGTGCCGAAGACAAGCCTTATAGTTTTACTCTCACTTGGATTATGGTGCCTCACCTGATACCAAAACTTTATTAGAAATATTTTTGGTTGTTTTAAAGCCCAATGGACAGGAAGACAGAAAAGAAAGAGAAATGAGGGAGAGGAAAGGAAGAAGGGAAAGAATTTACAAAAATAAACAATAAAAGATGTACAAGAATCTGCTTCTAGACCTGCAGAAAAAGAGAAAAAAGGAGACACACAAAAATACAACAGAACCAAAATATCACTGTGCCAACCGCATGAAGATATATAACGGTAACGATTTTTGCTGAAAAGCACACGGTAATAATTTATAGTGCATTTAGTGTCAACCACAGCCATGGGTTATGTGTTAAAAATGCCCAAGTCCATACTTGTGAGAAATCCTCATTGTTTATTTTTAATAATAAAAATAGTACTGGGGTAGCAGTAGCTCAGGAGGTAGAGTGGCTTGTCCAGTAATTGGAGGGTTGTAGGTTTGATCCGACAACAGAGAATTCTGCTGTTGTGTCCTTGGGCAAGACACTTAATCCACCTTTCCTGCCGGTGGTGGTCGGAGAGACTTTTGGCACCTGTTCTCTGCAGCCTTGCCTCTGTCAGTCAGCCCCAGGGCAGCTGAAGCTACATTGTAGTTCATTACCACCAGGGTGTGAATGTGTGTGTGAATGGATGAATGATACACCGTAGTGTAAAGCACTTTGGATCATGTATCAACCTCACCATGGCAGCATTACCATCTGGGCAAATGTGTAAAATAGTTTCAGGAAATTCTGTGTCATGAATCCTTTTGTGGAAAAATAGATACAAAATCACAAGTTTTACACAAAGAAACCTTAAATATTAGCAAAGAGGGTTCTTTAGAAAAAAATCAATCCCCCATTAGGAAAAAATGGCTCTTGTAATTTTGAGGCAACCCATTCTGTCATAAAATTATTATTTTTTTCACTTCTTTTCCTTCCTAATTTTGCATTTCTTTTTTTTTTGCACCAAGTACCGCGGCAATTTCCTACTGTTGTGATTCTCGTACATATGGCAATCAAACCCTTCTGACTCCTTCCTTCCTTCCTTCCTTCCTTCCTTCCTTCCTCCCTCCCTCCCTCCCTCCCTCCCTCCATCCATCCATCCATCCATCCTCCCTCTTCTGCTTATCTGGAGGGTCGTGAGGACAGCAGCCGAAGCAGGGAGGCCTAGACTCCCTTCTTCTAAGCCACTTGGGCCAGCTCCTCTGGGGGAATCCCAAGGGGTTCCTTGGAGAAGACATCCTACCCTTTTCTAACTCAAGACCATGGCCTCGAAATGAGAGGAGTTGATTCTCATCAGCTGCTTCACACTCGGCTGCGAACCAATCCAGCAAAAGCTGTCTGATGAAGCCAAAAGAACCACATCATCTCCAAAGAGCAGGGACCTGGTCCTTAGACCACCAAAATGGATCACTTCAACACTTTGGCTGCACCTAGAAATCCTGTCTATAAAGTTATGAACAGAATTGGTGACAAATGGCAGCCTTGGCAGAGTCCAACTCTCACCAATAACGAGCCTGATTTACTGTAATGTAGACCAAGCTCTGACACCAGTCAGCCCGTATTAAAGGGTCTGGACAATTAAAATATGGGACAAATTATATAATAAAATGAGAAGCAGCTCAAACTAACAATTGTGCATGCAAATGTTTATTTCAAAATTACAATTACGTTAAAAGATTATTGAGAAAAAGTGAGTCTTTATTAAATGATAAATTCAAAAAAGTCCTGCAGCAACTTATTTGTAACGTGTTCCACTTCAGAGTGAGCAAATAAAATAGGATCACACCAGCTCCCTACCTCCCATCTGCTGACTGGCAGGTGTTCCACTGCACACAGGAGTCGTCCATCATGACAATGAAAGGCCACACGTCTTGCCTCTTGACACCCTGTTCCTCCAGGCGGTTTCTCTCCAGCTCCAGGTTATGATATGACAGCTCTTTGATCATGAAGCGAGCAGCTCCTTAAACACAAAGTTCATCAATCCTTCTCTGTTCAAAAACGCAACGCTTACAATTTCCTTCATCAGCTAAATAGAGCATTAGACAGCAGAATTCACTGTGAATATTTGCAGAAAACAATTCCCACGGAAATTATCCCAAAGCTGCATACAAGCAGAAAACCATGTGGATGGATATCAGAGGTCAAAGTAACACTGATGCCATTTCTCTCAGCTTTGCTACACTGGTCTGAGACAGGAAATATGCTACTTTTCGACCCCCCCCCCCCCCCCCCCCCCCCGCTTTCATTCTCTCACATTGGCTAAAAAAAGAACTCCCATTTCACCTTAAACAAACAGGCTGCATGTCACCACTGGAATAACTAACCAGCCCGCTGGTTATCTAAGGGTTTATTAGGTGTGTTCCAGCCATAAAGATCTTAGCAGCACTAATCTCCTTTGACTTAGGCCCTGTCCACACGTAGCCGGGGATCTGCTAAAACGTAGATATTTTTCTATGTTTTGGCCTGTCATCCACACGAAAACGGATCTTTTTAAAAACTCCGGCCAAAGTGAAGATCTGCGTTTTCTCCGTTTTGGGTGTCTGCGTGTGGACGGACAAAACCGGAGTTTTAAGGTCCGCAACGTCTCTTTCCGCGACAAAAAAATGCTGACATCACGTGTGCGACCTGTGTTTACACTAGCCGACAGCATGGATGCCCTAAGAGCTGCACTCGCTTTATCAATTGTCCAAGCGCTTTTTGCTTGTTTGTTTTTGCAAGCGGAATTACTGCTCCTTGCGGAAGACAACAGACGAAGGACGAGGTTAAGAACGGGGGGAAGTACTGCCGCCTACAGGTCTGGCGTGTCCTTAACAACGTATTTATCTGGGTACGTGTGGACAGTTTTTTTTTAAATGAGGTGGTGTGGATGCAAGTTTTTGGAGGGGCGGATATTCGTTTTTAAAAAACCTGGCTACGTGTGGACTAGACCTTATTAGGTCAGTGAGGTGCTCACCAACTCCAGCATTGTTGAACATGGCAGGCAGGACAAGCAGGATGTGGTTGGGCCAGTACTTCCTGTAGTGGTGCAACTCAAACTGTTTGACCACCAGGATGTGCAGATGATCAGCGCCCTCCATGGCGTGGAAAAGGTTGAGCAGGCCGTTCTCCTGCCGCCCCGTTGTTGGGGTGAAGATCGGACTCTTCAGAAGGTCGGGGTCCTGCAGGGGTTAAACACATACCTGTGTCTGTCAAGTGGCCCAGAGCCCACGTGTAGCGGGTGGGGGGGTACTTACCTTGGAGGCCAGAGGCAGACGTAAACTCTCCAAATGGCTGCCCTCTTGACTGAATACAAAGTGCTGCTCCTTTGATTTGGGAATGAAAAACTGGAGTTGGACTTCCTCTCCCAGCATAGATGAGCAGAAGGTGAACGCATGTAAGGAGCATTCTGATAGCTGCAACACAAACGTAGAGTCAAACGTATAAATGGACTGAGTCAACCCTGGATAGTACATCTGTGTTTTTAAATGTGCAGCTCACCTGTGTTGCAGGAACAGCCTCACAATAGTGGTGACACTGCTCACAGTGATGGAAAGAATTGTGGGCAGCGAATCTGCTGAGCCGTATAGATTTAGTCACTCGCTTGGCCTGCCTGTGGCTCTCTTCCTGCTTAAACCCTGCAAACACGATCAAGTAATTACTCAGAATTGACTATTTAAGTAACATTTAAGTACAGAAGACGTCTAATATGGACAATACGGTCCCTATTTCATTTATTCTTGTAGATACATTTTTTCTTTCTTTTTTTCCCTTATTATGATGACCTCAGTGTTTGGTCCTGCCTGTGTATTTGCTGTCTGTTGTCTATTTGTTGTCCCTCCAATCCCCTCTCCCTCTCTTCCCTGTCTGTGTTGTATGTGTCTCTTTTCTCCCTGCCTGTCCACTCCGGTGCATGAGCGAATGCAGTCTAACATGCCACAAACGTAATAAAGGCAACTGCACAAGAGGAGGGACATCCCACATCCCTCTGCTGTAGAGTTAAACTGTTCTGGCATGTTATGGCACCCAGATCAACCATACTGTCTGCTTCTACTGACAGAACAGGAAAGGTTAAAAAAGAAAGATAAGTAACAAGTTTAATTCTAGTAGGTAAAATGTTATTTTTCACCTCCTGAGCTCTTTGGCATCTTGTCACAGTAAACAGGGCTGGCTTTCTTGAACTTAGGGTCTCTGGGACTGGGATCAAAGGGAAGCTTTCGAACTTCCTCAATGTCAGGCCACTGGGAATGTACCGGAGCTGTAACGTCAGATGTTTCTGTAAGTAAAAAGTGGTGTCAAAGGAAAGATTTTTGTGAGAGTCACATTTTTCTTAAAGGTGTGGATAACTTGTTTAATAAATATGTTTGCAGTGGTCTCTAGAAGAAATTAATGCCTTGCAGGCAGATCTCAGGGCACAACAAAGCCCACAAACCTCTGTCTCAGCAGGCCAAGTCCGCGACATCACAGCTGAGCTTCAGAAGACAGAATTTAGAGTCTTATTTCCTGATATTTGGGCATCTCACTCTGGATTGGATAACAGCAATGCAACTCCGCCACTGATGTTTAATCTCCACCAGTAACACAACCCTGGAGGAGTTCTGCTGTAAAGTGAAAATGCTAATGCTAACGGTAAGCTTAAATTAGCCGAGATGTCCGGTGCTATTTCCTGGATGTTAAAAAAACAACAGCCTTCCCCGTTACGAGTCAAGATCTGTGAGTCCCTGAATTAATAGTGTGAAGTAGATATGTGAGAATTTTCAAATTGTAGCTGTCTATTTTCTACCAGAAACCAATGCAGGGGTTAGGTGTAGAAGACCGTTTTCATGGTCAGCCTGCCTAAATAACTCAGGAGTGATGGATTATAATCAGACAAAATATAAAAAAATATTTTTTTCAGTCAACCACACCTTTAAAATATACTAACTACAATTACAGGATAAGTGATGAGTTGTGTTATGTGAGAAGTGATTTCTATGGATGCGTTTAGGTTTAAACCCATCAGTAGATAATTTTTTCTAAATTAAATTATGTTGTTATATGGGAGCCCATTCCCGCCACTCTGATGAAAAAATATTAATTTGTATCTCATAATTACGACTTAGCTATCTCATAATGAAAAAGCTAAGCCATAATTAATTATTAGATACAAATTGTTTTTAATCAGAGAGGCAGAAACGGGCTTCCATACTGTTAAATGATGATGATTAGCCATCATAGATATTAAATAGACAAATATTTTGAAGGAAAATATTTAGTCTTTGTAGAAATAATTATTTGCCTATACCCTAACCCTATGCTTATATATTATGTGTTTATAACGTTGTTCTTTTCCTCACCTTCCTCGCCATCTTCCTCCTCATCATACACGTCCACCTCCAGCAATCTTATGAGCATACGAAACAGAATACGTAGAAACTGGAGGTAGGCACCAGTTTTCCCAATCTAAAAAAAGAACAAAAAAATCTACATGTAGCTTTAGATGAATCTTAGCATATGAAAATAACTGTTTAATTCATGAAAGTGCATGAAAATTTAATTTCTGCTGCTTCATATTAAGAAAAACTGATAAAATCCAAACAATTCTCATATTTATGAAATAAAGTATTATAGAGATCAGAGTTAAATTTGTGATTTATATTTTAAACCTCATCAGTGAACTGATCTCAATACAAAAACAGGTTTATGTTTGGTTCTTTAGGTGGAAATGATATTTTTATACCTGTGGCGGTCCGCTGAGTAACAGGCGCCGTGGATGCGGGTCGGGCGGTGCTTCATAATCAGCATGATGCTGCCTGGCAACAGTCCACTGGCGGTAGTACGAGCTCTGTTCTTCCCCCTGTGGGTTGTAATTGATGGGAGGCCTCAGTGGACTGCTCCAGGCTACGTCAGCATGAGGAAGAAGTGAGAAGGAGCTCAGCTGACTCCCCGACTCTCCCGCCAGAAGGCTGTACGCAGCTCTTGACAAAATGACCGTCCGAGGTGACACCCTAGAGGACTTGGAGGCTCGGCCGCACTGCGTGGACTGGCTGGGCCTCTGGGTGGAGGAGGAGGATGTGGAGGGGGAGGAAGATGAGGAGCTGGAGTAGAGAGATGGAGGAGCATTGGTGGTTTTTGAAGGGTTGGAGGAAAGCTGGCTTCCTGGAGAGTCGCACTCCTGCTTGAATCTCTCGGTTAGCGTGCTGATGTCCGAGGTTAGGACGCCTTCTGGTTGGGAAGTGGAGGTGGAGGGCTTCTGAAAAGAATCAGCTACGTCTGATGAGCTGACCCCATTCTCAGCCAAGGAGCCTGAGTGGAGAAGGTTGAACATGAAAGAGAAAATATAAATACTGTTAAGAGCATTTTCATTATTTGGGTGATTTTCTTATGATTTGACCCTACTAGTCCAGCAGAGCCAGTTTAAGGTCAACGGGAACCTCACCAGACGTTCTGGTAGCAGCACTGCCGTTGCTCTGAGGCCTCTCCAGCTCATCTCCGTCATTCAAGCTGATGGTGGTCTTCTCCCCGTCTGAGTCCCGAGGAGCCACAGCTGTCCTGGACTCCTGGACCACACCCATAGACACATAGGTACAAGCCAGACCCACCTCCTGCTCCAGGGCTGTTCGAGTCAGATAGCTGGAGTCGATCAGACGCAGGTCAGTGTATTTAAGAGACCTGGAAATGTCAAAGTTGATGCGGAAAAAATGTTATGCTTTATCTGGAATTAGAACTGTTCAGAAAATAAAATAAAAGCCCTAAAATGCTGTAATATGCAGTTTTTTAAGCTGCACTTGTAAAGATGTGGCATTACCTGGGAAAAGTCTCTCCCAGAGGGTCTTTTCCTGTGAGAATGACAATACAGGGCAACCCTTCCAGATCTTCATAAGTGTGCGGTACCCAGTCTTCACTCTCGCAGTCTCGCCACGTCTACAGAGTAAAACACAGAATTAATGTTTAAGCATGACAACGCCAGCTGCTCCTGCTGCTCTAATCTCACCTTGATAAGGTTGATGAAGTTTCTGGACAAGCTGAGTTCGGACACAGGACTTCCCAGCAGCACTGCGAAGCACAGCTGGAGGCCCAGCTTGTCCCTCACGTCCTCTAATCTCTCTCGAGCCAACATCGCCAGCTGCAGGGAGGGGACACGAACTAGCAGCATGTGGCCGCGGCCCCGGGATCCCTCGCGGCTGGGAGCGTTGATCAGGTCCTCCACCATGGCCAGGGTCTCCGGGGTTATGTGGTCCCTCAGGGACGGGGAAGAGGTCAGGGCCATCATGGCCTCTGTGTACTGCTGAATCAGCAGATAGCTGCGTATCACCATGCTGTGAAGGTGGGGGTGTCTGCAACACGAGTTAAAGGAAGAGTTTGAATGATTATAAAGTTTCTTTTATAACAGGAATGTGAAGTTATTTGTGTGTTTTGGCTCAGCACGGACTTGTCTAGGAGAGTATGAACCATCTTCTCAAAGGCGTCATCGCAGCGCAGGATGGGACTGGCCACGCCCCACTGCAGGGAGCTGCTGTAGTCCCTCAGGCCAAAGTAGACAGTGTCCTCGGGAGACTGCTCCCTCTGCTGAAAGGCCAAAGTCACACCAAGGTGATTAAATTAATCTCCTGCTTCATGTACTTGACTCTGAACATCTGTGTTTTTGACATCTGGCTTGTAGTTTAACAATTCTCTAGTTGTTGAAATTGCATTTTTTGTCCAGCAGGTGGAGAAATTGAGTCACAGCAACAGAAAACAATGTAAATAATGACTTAAAACACCTCAAAATATTGTTCTTGGATATTTGCATTTGAGTTACAATTTTAAAAAAACCCACATTATTTCTTCTCAGTCTTGAACTCCAGAGTTAATTTCTTATTTGTCATTTTTAAATGTTAATATGAAAAAAAAAACATACTGACCAGACTTTCGGTGGAAGGCCAGTGGATCTCGTTGTGGGTGCTGATGCGTGATTGGCGGGTCTGCAGAGTGTAGGGGAAGCAGCTGACCTGCAGGACCAAGAGGTTCATTGCATCCAGGACTTCCTGGCAGTTCACCACCCGGTCAGCGAGACCCTGCAGCTCGCCGTGGCACACGGAGCCCGACAGAGCACTGGAGAGGAAGTGGAAAAAACTTTCAAAACAAAACATTTCTGTTTATCACAGATTGCTAAAAAGTCTATAATTTGGGACATAGTTCATGCAATAAAATGTTCTGCTTGTTTGAGTTCCCAGTGTGGGGGAGGTTCATCGAAAGAAAAATGTTCTGAATAACAGGAAGTGATTTATGTCACGTTTTTGGCAATGAAATCAGACGTTTCCGTTGAGCATGAGAAGCAGCTGGAACAAGCCTTATAATCCTGAAAAAAGCAAAATCTGCAAAGTCGTAATAATAAATATAATATAAAAACTAAATAATTCATGATTAGCTATTTGTTTTCATTTGTCTGCAGCTCCTATCTGTTGCTCCAGACAAAACAGAGAAGGCAGCCAAAGCAGCCATAACATCTTGTTTTCAAAGTCATCTTCACCTCGTGAGGTCGACGTGCGAGTTGTCGTGAATGAGGACAAACAGGGTGTAGGGGTTCTGCTTGACTTTCTTCATGAAGGCCTCCATCTTGGTGTGGACGTCAGCATCTAGACGCACCACGTACTTTTCTGATCTCTGGTGAGCCGTAAAGGCATCTTCATTCCCCAGGTCGACGAGCACTCCTGAGAGAAAACACACAAAGCTGATTAACACTCTATTTTATAAAGAAAAGAGTTGAAAAGATGGTACCTACCTGACTGTCGGATGCGCTGTGCCGTTTGGTGAACCAGAATGTGAGAGGGAGGGACCAGAACCAGAAAGTCCACTTTACAAAAGCGACCCAGGTCCAGGTTCTGGGTCCCTGAATCGGCGATGGAGCAGACCTGAGAGAGGAGGCTACGAGCCACGGTCAGCTGGGCCGGATAGATCTGAAAGACCTTATTCAGAAGATCAGCTGCAGGGGAACAAACACAAAGCAAAGACCTACTGTTAATATTATATTTAAAGACCAAGTTCACTTATTTTTTTCCTATACATCTGCAGTGGTCTCTAGTCTAAAAGAATGCCTTGTGAGTGGATTTCTTGGGGGAAAAATGCTCTGGTGTTCCTGTTTCAGGAATTAGAAGTACGCCAGAGAAGAGACGAGCAGAAGACGGCAGGCTTTGGAGCCTTATTTCCTTGATATTCAGACATCTCACCTCTGATTGGCTAACAGCAACACAACTCCACTGACCCTGTTTGTTTTGCCACACTGATGTTTTATCTTCACAAATAACACAAGCTGTGTGGTGGATTTGCTAATGCTAACAGTTAGCTTCTACTTGCCGAGACAATCTCTGATGTTTCCTGGACGCTAAAACAACAACAGCATTCATCGCGAGTCAAGATAGGTGAGTCCCTGAATGTTAATTTGATATTACATTCAATTGTTAGGCTTTTCTAACCTCGCCTTTTCAGAGCCTCGCCTCTGTCAGTGCGCCCCAGGGCAGCTGTGGCTACATCGTAGCTCATCACCATCAGTGTGTGAATGTGTGTGTGAATGGATGAATGATACACTGTAGTGTAAAGCACTTTGGAGTCCTTACTCTGAGAGACGCTATACAAGTGCGGGTCATTTATCATTACCATTTTCTAAACTGAGTCTTTTTTCCATCAGGCTAATGCAGGAAATAAGGGTAGAACACTGTTTTCACGTTCAGCCTGCATGTAAACTCAGAGTGAACGATCACATTTAAAATATAACTAAAAATGGTTTTTCAGTGAACTTGGTCTTCAAAAGATAATTAGAAAAAGGTTTTATATTTCTTTAAATATAATATGCTGCCACTGAAAAATGCCTCTGAGAAATTGTTGTCCATGTAAAACTCCTATAGGTCACTATTGGTTAAAAAAAAAATTCTTAATTTTTTTACTTTTATTCTAGTGAAAATCGACTCCATTGATTCTAAATCCCCAAATTTTAAATCAATGAGAAACAAAGGATCAGATTTATACTTCAAACAGAAATTATTGAGCAAATTTAAGAATACAGAGGCTCACATTTGGACATTTAAAAAATCATTCTAAGAATTTGCTTAAAACATTTTTTATCTAAAAATTCTTCATAACTTTAAGGAGACAGGAGCTTGCAAAGATGAATCAGCACCCCCCTGCTACCCCCCCCCCCCCTACACACACACACACACACAAACAAACTGAGTCCAACCCGTCCAACCTGTGTCTGGTGGTGGCGACATGCTGGCAGCTTCCTGGGAGTGGATGTGGTCAGTGACATCGCCCTGAAAGGGCTGGATGACCTGTCCTTTGCGTCTGCGCTGGTATCGTACGAGTTGCTTGTCAAGATTGTCCCCTGGAAACAACATCACCATGGTCACAAACACACACACAAATAGATACAAGGGCAACAGCTGTGCTCTAATCGATGTAATGCTTTTTTTCCACACAGAGTTTTTGCCTTTATTTTATATTTCAGGCTCACATTTGTTGTGTTCCATTTGCAGGATAAACATTTTCCAACTAAAACACTTTGAATAACGACATATTTTCAGCTGTGTGACATCCCATAATAATGAGCAAATGTTTCACGTGCACAGCACCTACCAAGAGAAGTGGTTTTGAAGTGAGAAGCCAGGACGCTGACTTTCCCCGTGATGAGTTCGTAGCTTATTTCCTTCAGAAACTCGTTGGTTGTCAGCATTCCTTCAGCTAAGGCACGTGCTTGGTACTTTCCTGCATGTCAGTTCAGAATCATTCAGCTAATTAAACATGTAGCTGAAGTACTAAGGGCGTGCCAGAGTGCCACACTCACCCAAAACAAGCACACAAAACTCATTGCCGCTTATTTTCGAGGCACATATAATGACCACGTAGGTTGGCAGGCACCGCTGCTGGTGGGGAGGACGTTCACTGAGAGTACGCAGGGACTCTGATATGCCCTCCCCCAAAGAACTGTGGGCAATGACCACGTGGACGCTACCGCCAGAGACGCTTGCTTCGAGCCGAGCCAGCCAAGGGAGCTGGGCCGGAGAGATGGAGGGGTTCCCAGGACAGCAGAGCATGGCTTTCAGAACTATCTGCTCCAGCTCCTCCCTGAGAGGAATCTGCTCAGAACCTGCAGGGATAATTTTGTGTTACTCCTTTTCATAAAGGGTAAAAGTTTGCCTGTGAGACTGTGCTCACCTAAACGTGCAAGATACTGCAGCGTGAGCAATATCATCGTGTCCACGCTGAGTATCTGGCTGCCGTGGAGGCCCAAAGTCTCCAGGGTCTTTTCGGTCAGCTTGCTGCTCTTATAGCAACTGACCAGCAGGGGGCTCACCACTATGTTGCCAACGTTCCCATAGAAATAAGGTAAAGTGCCATGGCCTGAGAAGAAATAAAGTAAAGAATAAAGTGGAAAGCTACAGAGACTCCAAATGTTTCAAAACAAGTCAAATTATTCCATCAACGAATGAAATCTACCAATTAGGATGACGGGACGCACTCCTGAGGAGTTGAGCAGATTCTCTGGGACGATGACCGTTTCTCCTGCGCTGACGGGCTGAGGCTGGATGACACCTGTCGCCAGTGGCTGAGGAGAGGAGACAGCTAGAACAGGGCCTGGAGGATTAGAAACAATAAGATTGATATCATGTGTACACAATAACAAGATGCAACTGCAGAAATTCTGCATTTTTATTGTTTTTTTTTGTGTGTGTGTGCGATCCAAACGTGCGAAAACAAAACAATAAATTCTTTAAGATGAAAGTGAAGAGGGGTTTGTTGGGAAGCTTTTCCTGCAACAGTAACATGACCAGCTGTCATTAGGCTGAGTGGATCCCACCACATGCAGTCGCTGGGGCAGACCACATTAGACAGTAGAAAAAAATGTGCCTGGTGTGTTCTGAGACGCTCACTGTGTTCATCCAGGGTGTGGAGATGCTAAACGGGTGAACAGGAAGCAACTGAACAAATGTCTGTTCATGATGATCATTCATTGTGTGAAGTCTTAACATAAAAACAACCATTTTGTTGCTTAAGTTGTTATTTCTAGAATAGTTGTTCAAATTTGTGATGCAGCACTGATGTGATGCAAATTCAAGTCACCCACACACATCCACTTTTCTACCTATTTTTTAAGTTTAGAAAATGCATGATGTTGAAACTTACTTTTTGGAGCTTTTTACCCATGTTATATTATCATTTCCTCATGAGAAATACCCCCAAACCTGTTTTTGTCTGCATTCACACATCTTTCTGCCTCAGTTTCAATTTGGTCGAAGCATCATCAGGCATTTCTCCTCCCCCTGAAGCTGGATATTCTGACAAATTACTTCTGCATTGGGGCAAAACACTGCTGGCCAGCTCAGGATAAGTATCTTAGGTAACTATTGTTTTGTAACAGACATGTTATTCTGTGTAGGTTTGAGTCGCAGCTTTATTTATTTTTTCTGCTTTTCTTATCTACACTTGCCAGTATTATATTTTCAACCCTTTACTGGTAAATTGTTTAAAATATAAGGACTAATCTGTTTATTTAACTTTCTTTGTTTGTTTATTTAGCCAGTGTGACTCCATGTGAGGTTAGCAGAGTATCAACTAAAATACGGCTTGGAAATGATCAAATTCAAAAATCTTTAGACACACAAAATAATTTGCAGAAAACAATAAATAAAATTAAAATATAAATAAATGGGATCAGCTTCAGCTGGCTAAAAAAAATTACTATCTTCACCATCGGGAGTTGAATCTGCATCAGCTCATGGCAAAGTGGGACTAACAGCAGGTGCTTAGACCACTGGACTACAAAAGCCAGTACAACAGCAGGCTGGCCTATAGCTTACTGCACACTGGAAGAAGCATTAGCAGCGTGGAACATCAGCAGAACGTCAGCAGAACATCACTGCTTCAAATAGAATCCATTGTAGTCTATGGGGTGATTCAAACCAGCCGCAGTGCAGCAATTTTCAGGCGGATCCCAGAAGTGGCACACCACGCCACTAAAGATAGGACTGCGTTATATTTTTGCTGCAAGCTGCTTCTGGGATGCGACAATTTCCACAGTTAACATAGGGCAAGACAGGAAATCGCACACAGTTTCAGTGTAAAACCCTGGTAATTTTCAAAATAAGTCTATTGCAGCAATGCGATTTCAAAATATCTACATAGATTACATCAATACAAGTGACCTAAATGCTTACTTACTCCCTGCATCATTCCAGAAGTGCAGCGGCTTTAATCATGGCAGTGGGGAGGAACAACATCATCTATATCAAATGTGATTTCCTTCTTTTTGTTTAATGGTGGATAAAACCATATATAATCTCAAGGGATTTGTTGAACTGTTGTTAAATAAGGAGGATGGTGGAAGTCTCAAGGGATTTTGTGACCTCGGGAGTAGAGTGAAGAGCATAGCAGAGAAGCCGCTTTGTGGCTGAGACTCTCCCGGTGTGCACTGGAGTGCAGCGATTGTCGCGAGTAAACCGTTCTGCTGCCAATCCGCGCAGCTGATGCTTCTAGTGTGCAGTAGGAATAAGACGCTATTGTAGGCAAGTTTTGTCAGACCAGGTGTGGGCGGAGCTTTGCTTAAACAATCCGTTATGAGTAAAAATTCAAGCTAACAAAATAACTCGTATTTAAAGGTGTGGTTGACTGAAAAAAAAGTAATGATTATTTCTGAATATAATCGGTCACTCTGAGTTTTTCATGCGGACTGAACATGAAAACAGTCTCCTACTCTTATCTCCTGCATCAGCTTCTGATAGAAAATAGCTGGTGAAATGCTAGAATTTGAAAATCCTCACACTGTGATGTCACACTGTGAATTTACATTTATGACCTTGCCCAACTTGGCTCGCATCCACTCACAGGAAAATTTTAAAACATTTTTGCAGCGAGGAGAGAGAATGGAGAGTGTGTTGGTGATAGTGATTTTGCAACATGGCTGAACGTGTCCTGTTAGCCAATCAGAAGCTAGGTGTGTGCATATCATTAATAATAATGAACAATCATGCTGCTTTCAGCCTACCTCTGAACCAGTTATATATATATAACTCATAAGGCATTGTTTTAAACTAGAAAACACTGCAAACGTATGAAAAAATGAGTAATCTACACCTCTAAGATAAATGACATCTCATTAGTGCCAACAGTAATTTTTTATTACACATTGTGCCTAACTTTGCATGATCTGGCTCCTTTACAGAAAATTAAATTAGAACCACTAAATACAGCAACACCTACACAAAAAATAAATGAATGATTGTTTCTTTTTTGCTAACTTTCTAGTTTTGAAATAACAAGTTTAGTTGTGTTTACTTTAAGCTGTTGCTGTTTGTTGATTTTTTTACCCAAATGTTCTCAGGTTTTTCTGTTTTATTTATTGCTATCTTGGTCTAGATCAAGGTCACTGCATTGTAATGCTTCAAATAAAAGAGAGACAATCAGGTCCATTAGTTTGCAATAGTGAATGCAACTACAGTTGCAAAAAAAGCTTTCCTGAGAATGCAATCATTAACTAAAATAAAAAAAATCTGCGCCAAGCTGTCCAGCTCTATCTCCATGGCAACACTGAGTGAATCATCCCTAACAACCAGTGAATCTAAGAGACGTCAGTGGCATACTCATCAGAGGGATGTGCAGGGAAAGATGACGTCTGTTTTTCTAAGACGGAGACAGTGCAGGAAAGGTCTCACACACACACACACGTAGCAACACAAACACACACACACTCACGTGCGCACAGTAAAAATAGCCTACAGGACAAGACATGACACAGCAAGGTCGATTTAAAAACAGGAAAAAACCTGGAGAGCAAAGTATCGGCCGGATGGCGGGCACAGGGACAGCTGTCGGTGGGACGGGGACCAGTGGGGCAGGGTGCCAGCCACGATGACGCTTCTTTGGAGGACCGGAGTTCATGGCAGATGAAACTGAAAGTCAAACAGAAACAAGGAATTATATTAAAATAGAAGAATAAGTAGAGAAGAAAAAAAAATTAAAAAGAGAGTCTTACCGGGGCTGTCTCCTAAGTCAGTTGAGCGGTACCCGTGACTCGGGGGCACCATGGAGACCTGGGAGGTGCCCAGTAAGGAAGGGTGCGCATCAACACCCAGGTTACTAGTTGGCCCGGTCACCCGGAGAGCTGTGGGTACTGAAATCAAACACATAAAAGAACACAGTATGTGCATAAACATTTAAATAATACTTTTAATTCATTATTCTGTCTGTGTTTAGGTTAAACATGCATGTCTGTCAGTGGTGGCTGGAGAAAGAAATTCCTGGTGTGGCAATGCATAAAAATATTTCCCTAGTCCATTATAAGTACTCAAGTAAGAAGTTTTAAGTTAAAATCAATTATAAAGTCACAGAGAAATTAGACTATAATAATACTCTTAAATAAACACACAAGCCTACCACGTGCACCTATCTACCAAACATAAGAGCAACCATTCCATTTTTGTCCTCATTCATATTATATTTCATCCTTAGTTGACCTTTTAATTAATCACTTTCCCAAAGCATGCTCCTCAACATGCAATACTCAGTTCCACCCATAGGTGGCACAAAAACAGCATAGAAATGAACTTAAGTTATCCTGTTTGAAATTTCTAATCACATGAAAGGAGGAACGATAAAAACATTCTACTGCTACTGGGATGATTTCAGCATGTAGGCACACACAATTAGGAAAAATTGACACATTTATAGTAGATATGTGTATATTGTAGTGTTTTTTTCCCCTTCACATCAGGGAGGGTGGCCCCCTATAGCTCCCCCTATGGACGAGCCGCCACTGACGCCTTTGCAATAAAAAAGCAGTAAGATATCAACATTTATACTTAAAATAGGGGAAAAATAGTTTTAAATAAACTTTGTCACAAATAAAGAAAATAGAATAATGTTTGTTCTTTTTAATTAGCAAAGTTCTTGGTAAAAAAAAAAACACACCCAGAAGTATTCAACTATAGAAACCCACTGAAATGTATCTGATTTTTACCCACAATGATGTTGTTTTTATGTTTTCAATTTGTAAAATAACATTTTAAACCATAAAATATAGATTTGTGAAAAAATAAAAACAGAAAAAAGCACTTAAGTGCTTCTTGTACTTTATTTTTTTTATCATAGGACTAACTGGAAAATATTCTAGAGCAGCAACATTTATAGGAATGTATATCTATTTTTTATGCAATTCATCAGAAAAAAAAATAGACAGGAAGTTAATAATGAGACACTAATCGTAACTGGAAAATATTTAGAACTTTACAGCATTTTAACTACTGTTATTTATTCAGACTAAACTGATTATTATCTAAAACCTTCTTAAACTAACATAGCGACACACATCCTTCAGCTGTTCTATGAAAGATTTCCTTATGTGGCAGTAACCCAAGCCCCGGTTGTCTCTTGCCAGAATGCATACAGAAAACATCATTTTCTTGTTTGTTTATCAAAAGATTGCGTTATGTGGTCAGAGACGAGGTGGTGCATAAGTCACCATATAACCATCATGGGGCTCATGAGCAGGAGTCAGAACAATAATACCTCATAAAGGAAAGATTTAGCAAAAGTTTCCAGAATACTGTGGCTTTGTGTCATGAGTTTGTTATTTCACCAGTATGAATTATGTATGTAGTCCCACCTGAAATCTGTGCATTTAGACACATTTTCTAGCATAGCTTGTCCAAAAATGTCTGTCCTAAACTCTTAATGGCCTCATGCATTAATAAACAACCAAACAGCCCCTTCCTCTCCTCTTCTGTCTGCACCTCCGGCCTGCTTCCTGTTGCATTTCTGTGGTACATCAGTCTGTGTTCAAACCAACAGCAATTTAAAATCAAAACATAAACATAAAAAAATATTCTCTTTGCATGTAATTGTCTGAAGAAGACAAGCCATAAATCAAAATAAGTCAGGACTAACCATGCACTATCGATTTCCTATTTGTGTAAGTATGTTGCGAAAGGAGATTTTCCCCATCTGATGTCCACGGAGCGTGCAAGGCGTTGCCGCGCTGATCGTTATGTGTAGCCTTCACTTGTCAATACCACAACCTTGTAAAGAGTCTAATGGGTAGCAAGGCTTTAAAAAAAATCATTACAGCATTTATTCCTCTCGTATTGATCAGTGCGCACACAACCATGTGTGTGTGTGTGTGTGTGTGTGTGTGTGTGTGAGAGAGAAGGCCATTGCGGGGGTTAATCTTTGCCTCATGGTCGACTCCTTATGCTTCACTGCATGAAGAGACAACCGGTTTCTAAGCAACACCATCTCAAATCAAGGCTCCCAGAAAGCTAGATACTAATTAGCATCTTTGCAAAGGCCGCTGACTGAGTTTTGGAGCTTTGCAGAAAAAAAGCTGCTGGTTTTGCTACAGATGCACTAGAAAAGTCTTCACCTATTGGCAGAGTCTTGGTTCCTGGAGTGGATGTGACAGGTTTGAGGAAACTACAGTCTCTTCCAAGGTCCTGGTTGCCGAAAAAGACAGTGGAGGCTTGCACCATCCTGGTGGGTGGAGAATCTAAAGGTGGAAACAAACACACAGTCTCACTAAACCAGCTACCATTTTTTATTCTGATGCACCGAGGAACCATTTGATACCAGTGTGTTGCTTTGAATCGTGGTGCCCTTAAACAAACCAACTCTGCATAAAGAGCTTTTTATGAATCGCTGTGAAAGACAAAGTCAAGACAAAGAGGAGAGGTGCGTGTTATGGATTTTAACTTTTAGACACGAGAGGAACGTCAACAATAACATCCTATTTCTGAACTCCTTGGCATGTTCGTGTTGAAGAAACCTGCTAATGGGTTTCAAGTCATGTCATAAGTCTACGGCAAGAGGAAGTACTTCTTGTTTTTGCTGAATGAGTGACTCATTTAAATAAATTATCCAGGTATCCAAGCAACTTTGTTATTAAAAAGGTTTAAATATCTAATAAGCAACTGCTACGCTCCATCCATCCATTATTGTCTGCTTGGCTGGGGTTGGGTTGCGGGGGCAGCAGCCTAAGCAGAAAGACCCAGACTTCCCTGTCCCCAGCTACTGGGGCCAGCTCCTCAGGGGAATCCCAAGGCGTTCCCTAGTTAGCCGAGAAACGTAGTCCCTCCAGCGTGTCCTGGGTCTCCTTTTGGGTCTCCTCCCGGTCTCCGGGAGGCATCCTAACCAGATGCCTAAGGCACCTCAAATGGCTTCTGGAGGAGCAGCGGGTGTACTCTGAGCCCCTCCCGGATGATCGCGCTTCTCACCCTATCTCTTAGGGAAAGCCCGTCCATCCACCCTCATTTAGGCTGCTTGTATCCATAATCTCATTCTTTCAGTCACTACCCAAAGCTCGTGACCATAGGTGACAGTTGGAACGTAGATCGACCGGTAAATTGAGAGCTTCAACTTCCGGCTCAGAAGAATATTTGGGAGGTCACTACGACATATGGGTACAACGCCCGCATCACTGCAGACGCAGCAGCAATCCACCTGTCGTTCTCATGCTCCATCTTTCCCTCCCTTGTGAACAAAACCCTGAGATACTTCAACTCTTCCACTTGAGGCAGGACCTCGTCCCTGACCTGGAGAAGGCATTCTACCCTGCTATAAAATAACACAACATGAGCAGTTGATAAAATAATAGAAATATATCAGATGAGTTTTCTAATCTGAATGAAACACCAGTAAACTAAACGATACAAATAAAAAACAAATTGCACATGTCTCGTTGCTATTTAAGCATCAGACCACGCTGACCTCTGTGAAGACACAATCTAACCACCACACCCTGTCTCTATGGCAACAACATACCAGCATATAGCATCAAAATACTCAAATATTTCGATGAGAATATATATTTGTGTTCTGCAAAATTCCAAGTCTCACCTGAATGGGAGAATGGAGGGGAGCTGTGCCCGCTGGTGGCGCCGTTTTCTTTGCTGCTTAGTGACAACGACGAGTTCGGTTTGGAGGCTGATGCACAGCTGGAAAACTGATGGGTTTTACTGTCTGAAATCATAAAAAGAAATGGGGGAATTAAAAAAGAAACATGCGTTAATGAACATATTATCATGGAAGGTGACACCATCTTTGAACATGCAAAATATTTGGGAGGTCTGGTTTAATTCTCTGTAGCAGAAAACTTTTTGAAAAGTAAAAGATGACTTGCAAAGAGTAGAAAGTTAAAAAGTAAGATTTTAAAAATGCTTTAACCCTTTAAAGGCCTTTTGCTCAGATACTGGGAAATTTAAGGCTAACCTTTGCTATTTTAAGGGGCCATTAAATGAGTTTTTGTATCCCTTCTTTTCTTTTCTACACCTTTTCATCTTTTAAGTTCAGTTTTCTTAAATCCTATTTATTTTCATTACCTTTTATGAATTTTTATTTAACAAATTTTTCAACTGTGATCACCAAATCACGATCTAAAGCTTGTCAAGTATGATCGTTTGCACTTTAAAGAGTCAAAGAAACACAAATGCTAACAAGGACCCACATTCTGAAGTGCAGCTATAGCGAGACACGTAAACCAAACACTATCTAAAAATAAGGGGACAGATTTAGCCAGTAGCAAAAAACAAATAAAACTTTTTACTTTTTGAAGGAAAAGCGTTTCTTCTGAACAGAAAAAGGCTAACATCTATAAAAAAAGAAAAAGAAAATTAAAAAGACCTACCCAAACTTTCACAGGCCATACTACACAAATATGTAAAACTGAGTTGTTTCGGACCTTTCCAGCAGATAAGGGGTCCTTTGCACAGAGCACCTTGAGAATTCTTCACCAGGTAGTATTTTAAGTGCTTCTGCTTCTTTGGTTGGGTGGACAACTTCAGGTTGATGTGATTGGAAAACTCAGTGAAGTATCTAAAACCCTTCTCACCACAGCCCACACAGTTTCCTGAAAAACCTGAAAGCAACACAGCAGAACCTGATTTAGACACCAAGCATAAACATCAGAACGTTTTAATTCCACCAAGAGTTCAGAAAAAAATCTGCATCCTCCTGAGAGAGCAGACTGACCTAAAAGTGCATTTTTCCCATTCTCATCAGGCAAAAAGCGGCGGTCCACGGCACACACCAGGATGTGCTCAGGGATGCTGGGGGACTTGGCACCAACCAGTTCGAAGCCTGCTGGGACTTCAATGGATTCTGTTGCTATGGTGACCAGACGGAGATCCTTACCAGCCTGACAGAACCCTATGGGAGGAGAAAGTATCTAGTCATAATGAGAACCTGATGTAAACGTTTAAATATCTTTTTATTTTATTTTGTTACTATTTATTAGAGTTATCATTTATCTGGTTTTTCAAATATATTAGCTGTGGTCTCTAGTATAAATACAAGCCTTATGAGTCGATCTCTGTGAAAAAAAAAGGCTCTGGCGCTTCTGTTTCAGGAAGCAAAAGTTAGCTGGAGGAAAGGAGAGAAAATAACAGCAGGATTTGGAGTCCTATTCATTGTTATTCATAATATTAGGACATTTCACCTCTGATTTGATAACAACGCAACACTTCCACCATATCCCCACAAACAACAGATGCCTGAAGTAGTTCTGCAATGTTGTTGAGTTACTAATGCTAACGGTTAGCTTCTACTAGCCTGGACGCTAAATCAACAACAGCCTTCCCTGATCACCACAAAAGATGGGTACCAAAAACTTCACCCCCCTCAGAGTTGTCATGACAGTAAACTTTAAACCTAAAATGGTTTTGTACCAGGCTGTAAACATGTTTATTTCTGCTGTGAAGTTGGTATTTTTAACATAGGAGTCAATAGGATCTTGCTCCTTTCTGGAGCTAGCCCCTAGTGGATGAGTGTGGAACTGCAGTTTTTGTCATTTCCATATTGGCTTAATTTGTGGCAGCCGGAGTTTCCTTCTTGGGTCAGCCAGCATGTGAAACTCAGACTATTTCAAAAATATTAAAACAACATATGGTTTTCTCAGTGAACTTGATATTTAAAGGGTTTTTTTTGGTAATGGGAGCAATCGGGATATCATATCACATTCATCTTATCAACAAGCATTTTTTGTAGAAACTCGAAAAACAAGAAAAGTGTCACTTTTATAAAAACAAAAGTTCAGAGGAGATACCGTCGAGAGTGCAGCAGCCATCGGGTGCAGGGGCTTGCAGGTAGGGAAGAGGAGGACTGCTGCTGTCAGAGTCATCCTCCTCCTCCAGCTCCTCCACATCATTGGAGGAGTTACCGTTGGTTAGCTCATGCCCCGGGTTCTCCCCGCTTTGAAGCGCCATGTCAGCTTTGGACTTCACGTCTGCTAAACACACAAGATGTAACGAGTCCAATATTATTATTTCACAGCTGCAATTGCACGTGTTTTTCTTTGGAAAAACAGGCATTTGATAACTTGCTGCTACTTGTCTTTAAAAATTTCAATACCTCATGATTTCAAGAAATTCTCATTTACTAACCAACTAAAATCAGCTGCAGATCTTCAAGTCTGATGTTGGTGATTATTTCCTACCTTCCATGTTACCTGAATAGGGCTCGGGGTCTAAGTAGAGCTGTGTGAAGATGGGCTGTGGGTCTCCGCTGCTGGAGCGCAGCGACGCCTCTATCGAGTTGTGCAGAGCCTCTTCAAAACGAGCGGACTTCAGCTGCCCCGCATATGAATTCCCCATTATCTGTGAGAGCAAAGAGAAAAGGGCGGCATGAGCCAACGTGCACATGCGGTCACAGCAGTGCTGTTTATCTCAGCTTATTGATTTGGTGCTTACGTAATAATAAGCTAAACAGACAGAGAAGCAGCTACGGATGTCTTGCTCAGATGATCAGCGCAGGTTTTATGATTTTTTTATGAATAATTATGGCTAGTTTACGAGCAAAATGTGTTAATCTATGGTTATTATATTTTACAAAGCTAGGGGGTGGGCGATCCTAGTATTAAATGTAAAGAACATATATTTTTTCATGTCACAATAAAACCATATCTTCCACCTCTATATCTATAGTTATATGTAAAGCCTAAATGTAGAAATATTCTCACAATTCAGAATACAATGTGCTCTATTGTTATTAAAATAAACCTTTATAAATAAACTGTTCTGTATATTTCTGTAAAAATAGTTTAAGTTTCTGGAAAAAAAGCAAATTTATTAACAAAATAAAGAAATAAGTTGTGCTTTTCTAATTTTTTTCTGGCAAAAATATAATGAAAAAAATTCTATTTGAGTTAGTAAGGGTCATAATATAAAAATACAAATAACACATGGTAATAATGTTTGACTTCTTAAATATCCTCATATTTATTTTAGATTTTTTTTGTTTATTAGTTATTTTCAAGTTTAGCTTAGTGCACAAAAACTTTAAGATTTGGAAACTTTTTTTACCTGTGTCTCGAGTGTGCAAATTTCATCACCAAAAAACAAGGATATTTGCCTTCAAAACCATTATAAAGCATGTAATGTTTTCACATAGCAATACTATTTTGTACAGAGAAAGTTTTGCATGGCCAGTTGTCTTTTTCTAATCATTTTTGGCTCCTCTGCTTGTGCCACCCTGCCCCCCCCCCCTCACCGCCTCTCCACCAGTGTCCACTTGGGGACATCTGCCGAGGTCGGGGCTGCGTGGGCCTGCCATTGGTCGGCTCTCAGATAGCAGGTGGCAGCTGGACAGAGGGCCAAGCATGTGGTCTCACAAGAAAAAACAAAAAAAGAGCGAGGGGAGGAGCAGCACAAGGAGAAAGTTCTGCAAGAGGAAATAAAACAACTCTGAATAATGGCTCTGCTCCAATGGAAACTTCTTGCCCAACTCCCACATTTCAATGTGTCAAAACACATCAGATCAGCTTCTAAACAGAAAATCCAAACTGAGCGAGATGAGAAGCAGGGAAGGAAAATAAAGAAGAGGGTTTGGCTGCTCTGCTGACACACGAGTTTGACCTGAAATGTCTCTTTCATGCTTGTCCTTGGACTACATCTGACTGGTGCACACTGGTGTTGTGGTAAACAGCACCACAGCCAAGCTGGAGTCAGATGGAAGACTTCAGCCTTGTAGGAAAAACTTAATCCTCCTCATTACAGTCGCACTTCCATTCCCCGCTGCTTTTGAACATCAAGTAAGTGACCTAAACTTGAGCTCGGATTTAGGTTCAACAGCCATTTGAGGAGTTTTTTAAACACACATCAGTCAGATTAATGGATTTTGGAACTCTTGTTCACATTAATTAGCATCCTTGATTTAAAATTTATGTTATGTTTTAACATGGAAGTAAAAATCCAAACTTTTTTAAGCTATTTGATTATTATATTATTATATTTCAACTACAACAGAAGCCAAAGTGAACCTGAAACCATCGAAAACTCACCAAGTGAAAAAAAATCAAGTATCACTAAAGTTATTACATGCATACATTTAACTCTCTCAGGCTCAAAATAAGTTTTGATAAAAGGACGAACAACTAAGTCCTTCAGGGGTACTTTTGCGTTAAAAAATGCTCATGAAATACGTATGTGGAGGAACCAGGTAGGTGGGTTTTAACTGTTGCAAATCTGCAACGCCTGCCTCCAGAGGGTTAAAGGGATAGGTTGTGGGTTTTCAAACACCACCTGCTTTGCTGACACTGGTCAGCATTTTGACATTTACAGCTGTCAGGTGCAGGTCACACAGACTCCCAAATGCTTCATTTTCATTTTTCTCAATAACAGGAAGGGTGGGAATTTAGTTGGAGATTACTCTTTTCCCTCCCGGGTCACATATTGCCCACGCCTGGACAGGTTCCAGTTCTCTTTTATTTACCTAACAACCTTCCTGGGGAGGAATCTGACCAACCCAGACAAAAGAAAAGATTACCCTGACTGTGCTGTCACACAGATAAGCAGCTTAAGAGAATAAAGCTACAGTGCTGCTTGCTTAACTGATGGATGAAGGTGACTTCACGTGGAAACAATGACAGAGATGAGAAACAAAAGAAAGAAAATGATTGCCCGAGGGGTATTTTTGGGCAGGCGCCTCCTGCACAGATGCAGCCTCTGGAGGGAGTTTTTTTCTTTTGGATGAACTCTAACGGACAGATTTGTCATTAACCTGCTTGTATGCTGGAGGTGAGAACAGAGGTTGACCTTTCCTCACCTGTGAGACCTAAAACAAAACATGACCGTGGCAGAGATAGAGCAACGGATGTTTCTGAGGCGTGACCCAGGTGGTTGCTAGGCCAGTTGTAGTATTAGTGTGTGTGTGTGTGTAGACAGCAGTTGATTTGATGGACAGGTGTGGCAATGATAAACGACTGAAGAGCGAGCGGTTGCCGAGTCAAGGCCAGCAGCGCAGCTCACTGGGTGGCAACAACAGATTGCATGAATGTGACCCCCAGGTCAAACTGAGCAAGAGCAATCATCGGTCTGAGGAAGACGCACGATGAATTCTGACTCTCTTAACAAAAGAAAAACAAAACTTACGATGTTGATCTGTTCCCAGGCGTGAAGGGACTCGTTCACTTGTGCTACATGCTGGATTTCTACCAATCAGCAGAAACGATCAGCAAAGACGCGTCATTCCTTACAGCAGGGCCTGCAGGGGAGAGCAGAGAGAATTCTAACTGTGACAGTTTATCCTACTGAAGAAAAGCTCTTTTGAAACAAAATTTGAATTAAACGTGTATTTTTTCCCACTTTCATTAATAAATTATGATTTCAATTAGCAACAGATTAGAAAGAAGCACTTAGGAGCACTTAAACATTAAATGCAGCTAAATCCACGACACACGTTTGCAGGACTAAGGCTAACAGAGATGTGTTACGTGACACCGCCATGGTCTTGGGGCTATTTTCATTAAACACAGTGGAGTGTTGTAGTTTGTAGCAGCACTCCCTGCACAAAGCCTCTCCACATTCAGCCGCTACTTTGACCCTAAGCATTGTCTCGCTGCTCAGGCCCTGATATCCTCTGATACAGCAGAAGCAAAGTTCTCTTAGCCTGAAAGAACGCTCCTGGTCTGGTCTGGGGTCCAAGTCCTTCCAAACAGCAAGTATGCACAATCAGCTTCAACTTGCATTCAACCAAAATGGAGTTTGTTTTGCGAATGATTAGCCAGCCTGACAAAGTTAAAGTTAAAAACATCAATGTGTCAAGAATAAGCATCTCAGGGCATCTGACGCACTTAAAAAAAGAGTTTTTGAAGTGTAACGTCACACTTTCTCCTCCGCTGACCGCTCCCACTAATCAACCTCAACCAAAACGCTCATAATCTGCTAATTAGTCAACGTGGAAATATTCTGATGATTATCTGGTTGCAAAGACAAGATGACACATAGCAGTGAGACGCAAATGGCTCTGAAGGTGAAACTGTCGTAAATCTAGACTCCATCATGACCCTGAGGGGCATTGTTAAGTGTTTTTGTTGTTGTTGTTTTTGAGTGGTGAGGTTGGAGGGAATGCTGACACGCTGGTTTTATTTCATAGAGGATTCCATGTGCAGCTTTATGCAAATCAATCCAAACACACCCCCTTTTTGCTAAGACGCGATTGGACATGTTTCCCTTAAAATGCACAAAGTGGAAAAATGGAGTAAAACTCTACAGAAACGTCAAAAAACAAAGCATCAGTATCTCGTAATTAAAACGACATTTAAAAATTTTAGCATAAAAAAATCCCCCCTAAAAAGTCCCCAATAATAAAATAAAATTCACTGAATCACATTTTGCCAAATTAACCTCCAAATTGTAACAAACAAAAATGTTCACATGGAATTAAACCTTCTACTTTCAATTCTACTTTCCTTACATTTTATTTTCTTTTTAGCAGACTTTTATACTGAAATCAACAAACATGACAAAAATAATAATAATTTGCTTTCAGAAAATATAATTTTGATAAATGAAAGCAAATAAATACTGACAGCTTGAATATATTGAAACTTTACTGTTTACAGTTATTCTAATATTTGCTAAATAAACATTTATGGACAACTAAACATGATGATTTCAAGGATACGATCAAATTATAACTGGCTGAAGATATTTTCAGCTTTACAGAATAAATTAACATAAAATGTTAATTAAAACAATTTTTATCTAATCTTTTCACCTCATTGTTATCATGTAACATTTAAGGTAAATAGCAATGGTTTCTATGCAAGAGAGAGCTATGCACCCTTTTAGCAATTGAAAAGACACCAACCATCAAACATGAGAGAAAGGGGGATGGGGTTAAGAAATGAGGAGGAAAAGGGACTAATATCACTTCACATTCTCTAAATGAGGTGCTAAAAGCCCGTATCATAATGCTGCCAAGGGGGCCACATGTGGGACCCAGCCAGAAACAGCCTCTGTACCTTCCATGACTCCTCCACCAGTTGGCAAGCCCTTAAAATCCCAAAAATGTGCAGGCACAGCAGATCTTCCTCAAATTTAGTCCATGTTAGGTCCTTTTTTGGGAATTTCTCCAGGCAGTGTGCACGCGTGGAGCTTCAGTCTTTCCTTGAAGTCACCGTTGTCATGATTCTCCACAGAAAGAATTGGGAATTCCTCTCGGTGAGGCAGAAACTCTCATTCCCACTCTGCCTCTCTATCTCACTCACATGCAAACAAACACACGTCCACACAGAACCCTCCCCCTAACTCCTCTGCGCTCTCCTCTGTCCTGTGCCATTTGCTGAGGAGGGAGGGAATCCACTGGGGGGTCATTCATCTCATCCCTGGCTGGCCCCCTGCGGTGACAGATGCTCTCGGAGGCCCGATGAGCTGGGGAGGAGAAGGTAAGGGGGGGGGGGAGGGGGGGGGGGGCAAAGACGTGGGCCTCACATCTCCATGCTGCCACGCGTGACCCCCCGTGCGTAAAGACACCCGCCGTGTGCACCCCGTCATGAGGAAGATTTCGGTTTCAAGCTAAAAGGCAACAGAGGTTAAGATGGTTGGGGGAGCAGGACTTCTGCTCTCACGCTCAAACTCAGCTCGAGCTCGCCACACCCAGCATTTTATTGGGGGGCTAATTTAGAGACAGGAGAATCCATCTCCGGCAGAGTGGCGACAGGAATGTCGGGTCATCTCCAGCATTTTGTCTCGGTAAGCCTTACCTGGGATTGACCCCGCTCCAGACTTTTTTACTCCTGTTATAAATACCAGGAGCTCATCTGGTCAAAATAAATAAACAAAAATGCATCGCAAATCAACCGCTGGCAGCAGATGCTGGAGATTACACGTCGTTAGAGATCGTGATGCTGCCGAGAAAGAAGATCACCAAAGTTCTCCGTTTTCCCATAATAACACAAAATACTGATAGAGAACAGAAGCAACATTCACTTTCTAGATGTTTAGACAAGTTGATTATTCATTTTTAAACTGGTAAAGGTTAATAGCTCTACTACTGAGCTTAGTGCTGTGCAATTCAGACTCAACTTCAAAGACCAAGTTCACTCATTTTTTCAACACATTTGCAGCAGTCTCTAGTAAAAAGCTCTGGCGCTCCTGTTTCAGGAAGCTGAACACGGCAGGATTTAGACTCTTGTTTTCTGATCTTCGGACAGCTCGCCTCTGATTGGCAAACAAGTGTTTCAAACTGAAAGCATCAGTGGCGTGGAACGGCAGAGGAATGTCGCTGCTTCAGATAGAATCCAATGTAGACTATGGAGTGGTTCAGACCAGCTGCGACGCTGCAATTTCCAGGCGTGTCCCAGAAGCTGCACGCCGCGTCACTAAAGACAAGATTGGGTTCTATATTTGCCACGATCCACTTCTGGGACACGTCAATTTCTGCGGTTAACATAGGGCTAGACAGGAAATGACACACAGTTTCTGTGTAAAATCCTGCAGTGATGCATTTTCAGATATATGTAGCTTAGGTGTGACGCATCGGCCTTTACTCCCAGTATCACACCAGAAGTGCAGTGGCATGTTTTTTCATGGCTTTAATCCTGGCAGTGGAGAGGAACAACATATATGACATCAAACAGTGATTTCCTTCTTTTTGGTTTAATGGCAGATTGCATAAACAAACTGTGACCTTTGAAGTTTCAAGGGATCTTGTGATCTCGCGAGTCCAGCGAAGAGCACAGCAAGAAAGCCATACCGCAGGCAAGACTCTCCAGGTGTGAAATGGACCCCTTTGAAGTTTGCGAGTAAACGTTCCGCGCCGCGGATACTTCCAGTGTGAAACCGGGGTAACAGCAACGTCACTCTACCACTCAGTGCAGTTAGATGCCTACTGACGGACATTTACGTCGATCCAGGTTGATCCTATTGTGTATGGTGTAAAACGTGAGCCAAAGTGAAAATGTGTATGGTATTATGTGTGTTGCTTTGTGACGATGGTCTTGTCAGAAGACTGTCTCCTCACTTCCGGAATGCGAGAGTCCTACCGGTTTAGTTTGCCTTACAGGATGTAAATGGATTGCTACCACATTACCTGGGTGCTTCAGCCAGACTATAACATTTACATACAATTTTTAAAAAAAGATGCAAGACTTTTTAGTCTGATGTGCATGTCAACGCACTGACTGACTCTTTGCTTTTCAATGCTGGTGTTTTATCTATATCTATCTAATAATACAAGCCTGAAGGAGCTCTGCCGTGATATGGAGTTGTTAATGCTAACTGTTAGCTTCTACTCGTTGAGACGTACTCTCCTGGATGCCAAACCAACAAAAGCCTTCCTCGTGGCGAGCCAAGATGGGTGAATCCATGGATGCTAACTTTCAATGTGACATAGATCTGACTGGGTTTTCGTTCCCCCGTCCATTTCCTATCGACAGCTAATGCAAGAAAAAGGTAGAAGAATATTTTTACATTCAGCCTGCATGTTAAACTCAGAGGGGTCGACCCTTTTTAAAAAAATATCGAGTAAAAATGGCTTCTCAGAGAACTTGGTCTTTTAAATATGATACAAACGGTATGTGCTACTAAAATAAAACCTCTACAGGTTGCTGTCCACAATGTTTTGCAAAATTTTAGACACTGATGCATTCAGTTACCATAAATTAATGGAAAACAGCAAATCTATAAAAAAAAGAAAAAGGATCTAAAAACAAGCCCCCCTCCCACACACTCAACAGTGTATTCTTGCAATATCAATGAATCTAATATTGTTTAACTTAGCAAAACAGAAACGTTGAAATATTTAGGGAAACTCCTAAAAATCAGAAGAGAAACAGGCACATAAAAGACAAAAACCTCTACCATATAAAATAATTTAAAAATTTGCAACATTTCATAATGATTTCTTCTAGTTTCTTCAAATTTTTATAGATCTTTGTGTTCTGTTAGAACTTTTTATAGTGTTTCTCATTTATGTAACATTGTGCAGTTTTGAAATGCCATATTTATGATTTTTTTCTTTTAAATTATTATATTTATGAAGTAGCATTACACCGCATTTCACCCTGAATGACACTTACGTCACATTTTCTGCAAACTAACGTTCAAAAAAATCTGCAAGAATTTGTCGGGCAAACAGTAAGTCTGAGTAAACTCACGTGACAGTGGGAAGCTGCAAAACAACAGGAGATTCCACATCAGTTTAATTTTACTGCAAATGTTTCACTGCAAAAGATGTCTGTAGATTATTGCAGAAATGTAAGAAAATTTAAAGCATAAGAATTTTCTTACACTTAGTTTGTATTTATTTGAAGGTCTGATCTGTGGTACCGAAGTTCCAGTTCATTACCCCAATCATGGTCAACAGCTGTTTAAAATAAACTTGTGCACAGCTCTTCTCTTTAGCACCTTTAGTGTGAGGTGTGCAGTAAACCAGCCAATCAGAGCCCCCGCTAGTCCTCATGGAGGGCCACTTTTTCCAACACATTTGTTTCCGTGCTCAGCTTGAGTTTGACTGTGAGTTTTGCCTAGTTATTGCTAATTAAGACCACACACGCAAACATCCATAACTCTCATCTGATCCTGCCTGACATTTTAATCTGATGGAAGAGTGACGTGTGTGTCTGTTGCAATGTGAGTTAAATCTTTACAGGCATCCATCTGATAGCAGTGCAGCCCCAAGTTCAAATGGTGGTGGTGGTGGGGTCGTCGCAGCATTTATCTCCAAATCTCGAACGGTGACATGACCTGTCTTAAATTGCCCTTTTAAAATGGAGATAATGAGACGACTCTGGGATTTTCTCTGCCTTAAAAGACGCAGCAAAAAAAAAAAAAAAAAAAAAAAAAGAGAGTGGGCCCACCCCTGAGCTCATCCTTCAACACAGAGCTGAGCTCCAAAAGGGACAAAGGGGAAGTGCTTTTGCCAATGCCAACAGTGTGCTTTGGAAGATCTTTAGCTAAAGGCTCCAAATTAGGGTGGGGGTAGGCATTCCCAAAGGGACGCTGCATCAAATGACTCAGCAATTACTGAAGAGCAGCTTAGCCTGAGCTACAGAAGGGTCACAAAACACATCTGACATCATTAAAACCAGATCGCCTCCATCTGTTACATAACGTGAGGAGTTGAAGAAGCTGAGCCTAAACCAAAATAAGACAATAACAGTCATCACGTGAAAATTCCCGCAACAGAATTCCCTTTTCTAGAAGAGTCACGTGAGGATATCTGACGCCAAGGGTGCGAGGACTCACGCTCCCGTTTACTATTGGGGTGACAGCTCTAATTTCCTTTTAAAGGTCCCAAAAGATCCCTAAAATGAATCCTCCTTCTCTTTTCCCTGCTCGCTGCATGCTCGGGCCCTGAAGTGCAAACTGCTGCTAGTGAGGATAGCAGATGAGCTAAGGTCATTCACGGTTTTTCAGTGAGCCAAACAAACAAAGACAAACATTCCTGCTGAATGCCATTGCTGAAGTCGCCAGCAACAGAGAGAGAGAGAGAGAGAGAGAGAGAGAGAGAGAGAGAGAGAGAGAGAGAGAGAGAGAGAGAGAGAGGAGAGAGAGAGAGAGAGAGAGGGGGAGAGAGAGAGAGAGAGAGAGAGGGAGAGAGAGAGGAGAGAGAGAGAGAGAGAGAGAGAGAGAGAGGGAGAGAGAGAGAGAGAGAGAGAGAGGGAGAGAGAGAGAGAGAGAGAGAGAGGGAGAGAGAGAGGAGAGAGAGAGAGAGAGAGAGAGAGAGAGAGAGAGAGAGAGAGAGAGAGCAGGGCTCAGTGAAGATAATGGCTGCAGGCTGCATGTGTGTGTGTGTGGGCACGTGCATGCACGTGCACGCTTGTGCATGTCCATTCGAGGGGGATTATCTGTGGAACTATAAAGTGGGGTGAACCAAGGTTTAAAGCCAGATGTGACCAGAGGGGACGGGGGCAGGGTCCTGGGCCTGAGGAGGTGGGGTGGACAAAAGGAGCATTTGGGCAGATGAAGAAGTCATCATCATTAAGCCACTGAAGGTTTACTGTCCAGTTATAAAAGTCATTTTAAAATTAGGGGATAGTGGGTGCGTGTGAAAGGGCAGAGGGACTGAGGATGAAGCCTGCGACGAGCTTGCAGAGGGGTCCTCACACAGGCCCGAGGAAGCGCGGAGCTCATTCATTAAGAGGAACAAGCAGCTTTGTATTAAGATCAGGTTGATTGGAGTGGTGACCGTGCCTCACACTGTGGCCCAGAGGAGTTTTAAGGGCAAGGCATTTAACCTTAAACTGGATCTAAGACACCTCATGGCAAAAGACTCCCCAAACAGACAACTGACAAATAAAACTTTTATGTAAATATTCTAATTAAATCTACTTTGTCATGTCTCTTACAAAACATAATCAAATGTGTAACTAGGAGAGCAACAATTAGTCAGTTGATTGATTAGTAAATCAATGCAGTCTCTGCAGATGATAATTGATTTAGGAGGGGGATCT